TGCGTATATAATCTCTGATTATTTTTATTATCACTTAATAATCGGTGCTTTTTTGTCTACAACGGTGTAAGGAAAGTTTTAATACGAAAAATATTCATGGGAGAAATGTTTTTTTTCAGAATTTTTTTTAATGATGGAACCATGGTTTTGTAGCTATGATAACTTTCAATTCTCTAAAGTTTTTCGCATGTCAAAGAAAACATTTATTGATTTAGCAGAAATGATGAAAAAAGATATTAGCAAAACCGTATACAGGTGGACATCATCCAGTGAGTTAAATGGCCATATTTGAATATTATTGTGGTATATGGTTACACAGGAGACTTTGTTAAACATAGGAAGTAGATTGAAAGTGTTCCCAACAACAGCAATGAGTATAACCAATAAGGTGCTCCACTTTATGCTAACACTGAAGTCAGCCTGTATCAAGTTTCCCAAAAATGAAGCTGAAGTACAATAGCAATATCCAATACCCGGCAAAATTCTAACTTGTCACATTTCAAATAATAACCTGAAATATAAAACTACTCCTGAGTTGGGTAAATACCATAATTTTGCGGTGATAACTATGACATATAACAGCTGATTCATGACGTCACGGATCTTATAACCGAACTGATAATCACACTCGCTTGAACGGATCGGTAAATACCAACCCAAAACCATTTTCATTTGGTTATCCGCTTGAATTTGATTTATGAGTCCGATTCGGATGAAATGTTGACAGTAGCCCTCTACGAGAATGTAGAATGTACTACACGATAGTAAATTTGTCTTGCGATAGTGGTGCCACCGGGCGGTGAGGCTAAGTACTTCGCCTTCGTACATACAAGTTTTAGCTTTCTGATAAGTCTGAAAGTTACGGCTGAAAGTTTCAATTTTTTTGTCCTTCGCCCGCATGGGTATCATGTAAAAAATCTATAAAACGTCAAAAAAACCTATAAGATGTCATCTTGCAAGCTATTTAGTTTTTAGGGCGCAAACAGTCATTCCACGTTTGCTCACTAGGATCGTTGTGAACGTCCATCTAAGGAGGAATCACTCAACTAAACTAAACACATCATTGGTTGCATATGTTTTGTGAGGCCAAATGGTTCTTGTATGTAGTTTTTATCTCTGAGAAGAAAGTTGGTTGAAGAGCAAGATCGCATTTGGATGATTATGTGTATTGGTCTGCATGTGTATAAAATCAGTGATATTTGCTGTGAGAAAATCATTACTGAATATGTTGTTAATGAAGTATGTATATCTATTGGTTATGCCCGACGGGTTATTTTTATGTTGTGCTTTCTGAAGAGAGATTATGTTCAAAGTTATAAATTACGAAAAACTGATGAGAATTACGGGAGATCATCACCGCACCCGCGTTGTGTGTAATTACTGTTAGCATGTATATGGCTTGTAATTCGACAATGTACAGTGAATTTAATTATTTCTTATCTCTCTCATTTGTAGAAATTCAGTAAATTTGTATATGTAATTTCCAGAATGGATAAGAAACAGTGGAAGCAACTAGCTTAGAATCTCAATTCAGTGTATTTGAGACAAGAACCCAATGTAAATATCATCAACACATACAACTTACAGCTTAGACCTCCAGTAATGCCATCTCAGAAGCAGATTTCACATCACATCAGCCAAAGATTGATAACATGACGTTTAGGCAACACGTACAACTAAGTGCTAAGTTAATAATCAAATCCAAGCGAATAACCAAAATTTCTGTGTTATGTGCCGCGGTTATAATATGGTTCAAGATGACTCACGGGTTGATGACGTCAGTTACACGAATCGCTTGAACGCGTTGGTTTTAACCGCGGTTTTGTTGCAAGTTGTTTATTTTAGAAAAGCGCGTATATAATCTCTGATTATTTTTATTATCACTTAATAATCGGTGCTTTTTCGTCTACAACTGTATATTATGGAAAGTTTAAATGAGAAACCTTTCATAATATTCATGGGAGAAATGTTTTTTTCAGATTTTTTTTTAATGATGGAACCATGGCTTTGTAGCTATGATAACTTTCAATTCTCTAAATTTTTCCGCATGTCAAAGAAAACATTTATTGATTCAGCAGAAATGATGAAAAAAGAAATTAGCAAAACCGTACACAGGTGGATATCATCTAGTGAGTGTATATGGCCATATTTTAATATTCTTGTGGTATATGGCTACACAGGATACTTTGTTAAGCATAGGAACTACATTTAAAGTGTCCCCAACAACCCTAATGAGTATAACTAATAAGGTGCTCCACTTTATGGTAAAACTGAAGTTAGCCTGTATCAATTTTCTCAAAAATGAAGCTGAGGTACAATCACAATATCCAATACCCGGCAATATTCTAACTTGTCACATTTCAAATAATAACCAGAAATATAAAACTACTCTTGAGTTGGGTAAATACCACAATTTTGCGGTGATAACTATGACATATAACAGCTGATTCGTGACGTCACGGATCTTATAACCAAACTGATAACTACACTCGCTTGAACGGATCGGTAAATACCAACCCAAAATGGTATATACTATTTCCATTTGGTTATCCGCTTGAATTTGATTAATATCTTGTGAAAAACCTACATAATGTCAAAAAAACAGCATGTCAAAAAAAAATCGGCATAATGTCACTTTCAAGTTACCTGATACCCGGGCCGACTTGAGTCAACTACATGTAGTGAGTAAACCTCAATTGTGTCCGACTACATCATGTGTCAGCAGTATCACTGCATTCCTTCAGCCAGTCTGATTACAACCTGGTCGAAACGCAATTCCCGGCCGATACATACACAATAGAAACACACCTATTAATCAAAACAACAAAAGGAAGGCCTCCATGGAACTTAATTAGATATAGCCCCGCTCCGCCGCCCTCTTCTGGACCCTCTAGGCTACCCTCAATTTCATCCTCAACGAAAATCGGCTCTGTTCTAATTCACCCCTTTGGAACCGCAGCGCCCGAGGGTTCGAGAGCTGATTTTTCCTCGAGTGTAACGTGTAATTAGATTGTAATTCAAACATAAGGTACGTGCATGGGCGGCGATTCGTAGTTTCGGGAATGGAGCATTGAGAATAGGTGTAATTGTACGCGGACAAAAAGCTACATTATAGCACGAAATGGGGTGCTTGCCATTTGCTATGGTTTAAAGATAAAACGGTGGTTACTAAATAAGGATGGTTACCTACGTTGTTTCCCAGGTTCTATACCAAAATCAATGTATTTCACAGGCCCACAAGATAAAAAACTTACGTCAAGTAAGTTGATTCTGCACTTTCATGACGACAATTTGGACTTATCATTAGGAAGCAATAATCTAACGATACCACCAACAAAATTTACTGTTGCAATAATTATGCGAAACAATTACCTGTTTCCTGGTCTACTTATCTAGATAGAACTTCAGACTTTTTTGAAGTCACCGACTTTATCCGCTGTTTAATTTCGACTTATGTACATTCGTCTACAGGGAAAACCAAATTTGTCTGACGGCTTGAATTCAATGTTTACGAGAGAGAAGTGCGAGAAATGTGTATCAACACATGTTAGAAAGAGATAGAAGCAGGCTGAAGGGCGAAGATCATCACCACATTGTCTAGGGACGGTGACGCGGGTCGTGCAACCTACCGCGTTGCCAGTGTTATACCAGCACAGGCAACGCACAGGCTTCTACAATAGGTTAGATTACTGTCAAACCCAAGAAGGAGGTCGAATCGAACAAATGATTTAATATTTTGCTTTCATTTTGATTAGAATTATTTATTTATTTCAAATTTGATGCAACTTTGAGTTTTAATCTCATTTAGAATTTTCTTTGATTTACACCGATGGTGATGCAACTTTGAGTTTTAATCCCATTTAGACTTTTCTTTGATTTACACCGATGGTGATAAGATCACACCGCGAGTTTTTGTTACATTTGCGACAGCGCTGAGGTCAGAAAATGTAACAACGTTACGCAATACAAATTATCACTGCCTGCGTGTACGCAGGTGAAACCCATCCTGACCTTTCATTTCGACGTAAAATGGAGCGCCGTTAGGTCCGATGCGGAATCGATCCTAAACAGATTCGACACAATTCAAAAATGTGTACGCTCAAAATATAATCATTATTTGGTTGTAGAGAATAAACTACGCATATGTATTTTCAACTTGCATCTTGAGCTTCGCATTTTGAACTCGAGCCGTCAGACTAAAGTTAATTCTCAGTGTATTCAATTTTTGAGGTCCCGTTTCGATTGATGTGGTATCCTCAACCGTCTTCAGGCGAATTGAAAAATATGTTTTCTAAAAATTGCGTGGTTGACCACTTATGACCGCTTGATCTCACGTGTGATGATCGACTCCTGTGTAGAATCTCCGATTACTCATCTGCTGTCAAAAAAACTGGTTGTTATTCGAGTTTTTTTGCAGATGACCTACAAATGACCTCTGGGAGGTCACCAAAAAATTCATTTTTTGAACTCCTATTTACTATAATGACGATATACTCATATTTTGAATATGCAATTTCTTCCGGCGTCCTTCAATAGTGTATAAATTTTCTACAGCATTCTCAAGCCGTCAGACAAAGTTGTTTCTCAGTGTATACAATTTTTGAGATCACAACGTTCCGATTGGTATCGTCAATCGTCTTCAGGCGAGTTGAAAAACCTTTTTTTCTGAAAATTGCGTGGTTGACCACTCATGGCCGCTTGATCTCGCGTATGCAGATTGACTCCTGTGTAGAATCTCTGATTACTCATCTGCTGTTTGTTATTCGAGTTCCTTGTAGATGACCTGAAATGACCTCTGAGATGTTACCAATACTTTTTTTTAACTCCTGAAATTTTTCGACAAAATGCGTGGTTGGGGGAATGGGGTATTGGGATATTTAATAATATGAAGATATACTCATATTTTGAATATACAAGTTCCTCCGGCGTCCTTCAGTCGTGTATGAATTTCACTTTTTTACGATCGGTAGGCCTCAGATAGTCGAAAATAAAGCTTCCAATACATCATAGAAGATTTACTGTATAAACTCCAACAGATTTTTACAATCTTTTCAAGTTCAAGTTTCTTTTGATTGGCCTAATTATTTTATAAGTTCACGACAAATATATACATACAGCTATTTGGGATTATGTTTCTATAAGTGTAAGACAAAGTTTAAGAAAAAAACAGATAAAAAAGTTTGTTCACCGGTTTCAAAAATATGTTTTCAGGAATATACAGGTTGTCTGCAAAGGACTGGTATACAGTAAAAACTACAGATTACCTTTCATAGAAAATTAGGATAAAATTATTCTATATACGAATTAAATGCTGAAAAAATATATCAATTTTCGTCATATAATTTTGAGTACGATATGTTAAAACTAAACTTTCACTTATTTAAGACCGGTTGACGCTTCTTTATATCGAGATAAAATCTGAGTTTTTCCTGGGTCCCATATATTAGCAGACACTCCTTACAGTCTGAGAAATAACAGGAACATTTTTTATCTCCTAGTACCCTATATTTTGGTTCAATCAACCCTTATTTTTTAACACAATCAACTATTGGTCTAACACCTCTTGGAGCATATTATAAAAATGTCGAGCCTACATATGGAAAATCAATATCCAGTATTCGGCAATCATGGGCAACCTTAACAGAAATATATTTATTAAGAAAATTCATTAAATTTCCGGATTCACTACTACACCCACTATTGATTTAATTTCTAAAAAAAATACATTCCTGTATTATAAAAAATATTCAGTAACTTCAATGTTTGAATGTCACACCCAAATCTTGTTTTCTATTTTTTTTTTTCGAATTAAGATTGATATAGTGTGTAATATCTAGCATCCTAGAAGATAAACCAATTTCCCGAATATTTATCAGATCATAGATCATCAAATTTTAGTTCACAAAAATTCCCGCGTTTGGACTTGCAGTACTTGACTGCTTACAGATTACAGATAATCTTGAACACTATTTTTGCGGTGACTATCATGAACCAAACTTTTGTCTACCGGCGAGATTTACTGCTACATACACAATAAAAATATTGCACCATTTTCCATTCAACATTTATAATATAGAATTTAAAACAAAATAAAAACAAAATAACATATAAATATATATACAGAAATTAGGCAATAACTAGTGACATCCTGAAAGGGACATAAAATATTTTTTAGAGTGTATAAAACCACTGAACAGAAAGGAAAACATACAAATTGATCGTGGATATACAAGGAGGCTCAACGCTAAGTCGGCAGCAAATTCATACTGATAATGAGATACAAAATATCCTAATTGCAATCCTGTACTAACACCACACAAGTCTACCATCAGAGTGTTTCTTGCATCTTCTTTAAGGTAGCAAAAATATTCTGAGAAAGATCTTGTGGTATTTTAGCTCTCTTGGTAGACATAAGATTGAATTGCAAGGAATACCACTATTAACTTAGAATTGATCCGCCTTGTATAAAATATTATAGAATCTTATAGAAATTAGATCACATTAGTAACTGTAACATTTTTGGTATTAGACATGGGTCGAATTAAACCAAAACAGAGGTTCCATTTGGCGCTATTCCAAGGAACCACATGTTTAAAGTTATATCTAATGTGCAGAATTTGAAGAAATATCCATAGCACTTTCCCAATTTCAAATTAAAATGAGGTATCAAAGTGCGTCGTCAGATTGAATTCTTCTGGTAAAAGATTGTTTACTGTATCTAAGGTCTGAACTCATGGATTGTGTTAACTGTAGTATTCATGTTAGAGAAATTTGCTTCAAGATATATCTCAAGATCCCACAAAAATGTGTGTGATTCATAGCAACATGAACATATTCAAGACGAATTTCATGTGCTTTCCGTCAGAAAGAGTCAAGATATTTTGACATAAAAACACCAATCAGTCGCAATGAAAGGAAAGCTACACAAGTAACTCATCAATTCAATGCAACGTTCTCACGAGGCAAGAAGACGACAGCGTTACGCTTTCAATGTTGCTTTCGTGACTGTAAGCTGGGGTAGGTAGTGAAACGTGAACTAGCCAGGGTCCTGGACTGTTCACACGATTCTATTCATTCCATGACGCTGACTAGCGCTATCCAATAAAACAGGAAACAGGAGAGTAAATTGTCTAAGGTCATACGTACTCGTATGTCGTATGTCAGTAAGGAGGACGTGGCTTTCGGAGACGAAGTGCGCGTAGAGCTTCTTAGGGTGTAAATGCATAGACGTGAAAAATGCCGCATGATTTATTTCAATTCAATTATCTAATGTACCTAATGGTTTTCACTCGCCACGCCATGCTTCGATAATTTATTTGGTATTAACCAACATTTCTACTTGCAACTCGTCCAAACGCCAAAACTCCACTTGTTCACGTTTTACCTTCAAGACGGAAGCAACAGAGAGATGCAAATATTAGAGATACCACATGCAAAGAACCTGAAATTCATTACTGACGTAATGACTATAGCAGATAACCTGCCTTTCTCGACACGGCCATTGTTAACATGCACGGACTTAATACTGTGTTGTACTGCGTTTAACTCGAAAAATATCAAAAATTACATTTTGTTCAAGTATTAGCATTGCAAGTGAATGGCATACCATTTTGGTAAACATAAGAAAACACAATAAAGTTCTTGTCTCCATTTATGAGCAAGTTATTTTTTTAATACGATTTCAAGTTGTTTTTGCTAAAAATATAACCTTCAAAATCTGCACTGTTTATTTCAACCTCAATACACAATATTCCTAGGGTAAGAACCAAGCGCTACCTCTGGCTACGTGTAATTCGACCCCCCTATTAGACACCCTCTATATATTCAGCCTTGCTCCCCACTCACGTCGAACGAAACCGCAACAGTAACAAATCAAATCGAAATTATTTTGTAAGGTTCCTACAAGTATTCATGTTGAAACACATTTTAGTTATTTTTGTACTTTGCAATGTGAGGAGATTCACTAGTGCTACATTTACGCAAAGACAATTTCCTGTAGAGTGCCAAAAGATGACGTCACAGATATTCGAAGAATAAGCATTTTTAATCACAATTGAAATCGATAAGAAACATTGCAGTCAAAGTTTATGGATTCCCATAGAAATATTTGGTTCAACAGAGCATACAAACCGGTGAAATGCTTCCCGTACGTTTTGTATTAAAACGCTACAGTAGACCAATTACATCGCTCTCGCGATTGCAGTAAGCACATGAGAGAAATATTTTGATAGTTTACTATGAGTTTACCATGTGCCAACGGTAAGCAATATTGGTATCGGTGCATCTTGTCAGATATTGCAAATTTTGGTGTAGGGCCGATATTAAAAACTGTGCATGAAAAACGTTTTGGAGACCATTTCAGTCAGAAAATTTGAGGATTCCTGGAACCACTTTTAATGATAGTAACCATCTATATAATATTATATAATTTATGCGGTTTCATTTAAGAATAAAAAGAGGTATCCAATGCACGGCAGGACAAGCAAAATTAAGAGTGTTTGTTTTCCAAGTTTGAATTTGTCTGATTGTGAAAATTTTTCCTTGATTTGTTCTAAAATCCAGAATGGAAAACTTAATATTTACTCAGAGCATTCATATTTAGAATCATAGCAGAATGATAAAAAGCCCCTTCAAAGACGTGTCGTCATTATTGGCATCCTACAGATCAATCAGCAATTCTGATTTAGAAGGAAACGTAAATGCAACCTACATCATTGATTGAAAAAGCATATATATGTTCTCGCCAGACTGTACATTTCATTAATTTTTGTTAAAATTGGCTAGCGTTGATTTCATACAGCCTGGTCAAACCACATTGAATATGAGGAAAATTGACAAGCTATTAAGAATCTGAGACGAACTACTGGTAGTAGTAATTTGCTTTGAATTTCAAGTAGTTTTAGATTATTCACGATATAGACTGTCACATCACACATTAATCCGAAATTTTTATTTTTATCGCCATTCTGAAATAATACCTACATTCTTATGTACGCTTTTTCCATATGTATTAGTATAATTTAGCATTTTAGTGCGGTACGCGTCTTTATGTTAGCTACAGAATCTGAGGAAAATATCCATGTTGGGTTGATTTTTGGTGACGTCCTAGTAACGGAAGTTAACATACAAATATGCAGAATAACTTTATACAAAATAAGTTCATAGGATGTTAGAGGAGAAATAAATCTGAAATGTTTATGCCTGAAATCAGACTTGTTCCCAAAATACACAAAACATGATGAAAATAATATAGAAAACTGTGGTACTTCCACAAAATCATTTACTGAACCTCATGTGTAGTTTCTTCAGATACTGTAGAAGCAAAAGCCAACATATTTTATTGAGCCATACCTACATACAAAATCTTATATAAAACCAAAAAATTGTGCTTTTGTGTAATGAACTTGTCAAAATCCCTTTTGTAACATCTGCACTTTTCACTTTTTCTCAGTTGTATTGCGTTGTATGTTATTGGTCCTACTTTGTATCTGAGAGTTTAACTAATATTTGTGAAGAGAAAACAACGTTAATCTACAAATACAAAAAACAAAGTACTAGGGTTTTATACAAAGTAAACAACTTCGAACGTTAATCGATTTATAATATCATCTGAAACCACTACATCAATCAATCTGGTCGTATTTAATAACCACAATTATAAAGTATGATTGGAAAAACATATTGAGCGTAATTTTATAATTTATAATTTACTATGGTATAATACTAGCTGGAATATACGGCTTTTTCTATTCAAATATCTATCTGCTATAAATTGTCAAAATAAATTAGGTTAAGGTTCGAAAAAGTCACTTTGTACAATGTCAATATTCATTGCAATCCAAGGTCTAGCTTTTCCTTCAAACCCCTAAAATCATAAATGTCGTTAATTATAGAAATACAGAACTCTATGTAAGATACACCCTATTATAGTGCTATCATTTATTCCGATAACATTTCCACGCTGATCATTAAAATTATGTCAAAATTAATTATCCCAATACGAAAATATAAAACTCTTTTTCCTAGTAAAATTATCACACGCACTGACAATCCTTTCAAGAAAAACATTCTTTCATTTTTTGACAACGCATTTTGATCGTACGTTGATATTCTGCATTTCTAAAATTGGCACATTTAAGAAAAAAATTAATAGCAAAAGGAAATGCTTGGTAAATTATGCGTGTGTTATTTTCGGCATCTTTGGTCCGATTTTCTCTTTTCAGTAACACATAAGCTTTATAAAAATTCCAAATTTATCTTTGAAAAATGACATCATACAATGATTTGGTCGCAATAAGACTTTTCCGACGGATATGATAATATGCATTTTAGATAAACGTGTCTATTGTTCGCGTATTCAACGTTACTGTTAAAAAAATGGACTATAGATTTATATTTAGAGTGGATTAACTTTTATACTGATTAAATTTTAAAATAAGTGATTCGTAACTCAGCTAAACCAACAACCAACAGTAATTATTTTTCCTTCACATCAAAAATATCAAAAAATATTAATGACAAGTTTTACATGCCTACTCCACTTTTCTTAACATCCACGCCAATTGCAGAATAATCGACATTATGCTGAAAAAAAAGTATGTCCCGTGCATGTTGTTAATTGTAGCATATCTTCACTGAAAAGTTGAAAATCAAGACCGTTTTTAACGCATCTAGTACGCTTCTAATTTGTGCATTCGGTTTCTACTAAAGAATTACAGAAAGAAATTCTCTAAATTCTCTAATATATAACTTTTATATAATATACAACATATCTCTTAAAATCACTAAAATTCACAGAACATAACTTGTAAAGGTAATCAAGTTAAAAAGTTAGTTTAAAAATGTACGTTAAAACGTCATATACATGGTGAATCACTCATAAATTCAAGTACGCACTTGTTGAAAATCAGATAAAAAAATTATTCTAATTATTATGATTCTTGTATCTTTTAATCAACGCCTCCGTTCAAATAAATGATTTTCAATTGGATTAGATTTGGTCGAGGTATTCAATTTTTGACTTGAAATCAGCTCTTTAATACTTAAATATTTAACAGATCTCCAAGGAGAACATATACTCAGACAAAACCATTGATTCAAAGCAGATCTTTCAGAAAAGGACTAGAACCCAAACGCGCTAACCAAAACAGAAGAAAGTCCAAGACAAATACCTATCTATAATAAACTACCAGCAAGTTTAAACTAATACCGAGTTTGAAGACGGGATCTGATAAGAAAGAAAATTTTTAAAAAAAAGTTCATTGAGCAAAGCCTACTTACAATACGATAAATGAACATTCGGATGACAATGCCAATTTTGATTTTACTTTACTCCTTTTCTTTATAATTAATTATATAAGTGTGTCTGTGTGTGTGATTCTATATGTGTTTAATTTTCTGTAATGTTACATAGTGTCTCTGTATATAATTATTCTACTATTATTTTATATTAAATGACATGTTCTATGTTCTATACCTCTTAATCGAGGTCTCATAAATTAATAAAGAATCAGTCAATCACTCAATTCTGCTGTGTTTTTTTACTTCGTCGTTCAATATAGCAAAGAAGAGTTTAATGGACGAATACAATTCTAGAATTAAAGAAGAATGTTATGAATACCTCCGACCAACGCTACCTGCTTTGAAACGAAACTTTTTCAATAATAAAATAAGGTATCGCTATTAGTACGTTTAAAATGCATAATCTCAATTTTATAAATGATGCATCATGTAGAAAAAATAAATCGAATTAGAAGAGAAACGATGTGGGAGCGGTCTCTTAATTCCCTACCGTAAATCAGGGCTCTAAGGGCGGCCCCTTAATATTCTCACACTGTCCAATGTCTTTTGCGCGGAGGGAAATAGGTCACGAGGGCAATGATTCACTTGGCAAGCGAGGCAAGAGAATGGACAAAGCTTTAAAGCCGCCTTTCGAATAAATAACTATAAAAAAAAATTCACGTATTTGAGGCTGAAAAAAAAATAGTATAGGTTCATATACTATGAAACACAAAGTACATGAGACACGAAGATGCTCGATGGATGTCATCTCTTCTCCTGCCATTACGGCAAAAAAATAGAAGTAAGTTTTGATACAGTACTGTTTTTATAAATCTGGTCGAAGTTGCATTGATGCTTGCACAATACCCAGCAGGCTTCTCGCTATCAATAAACCAAAATAAATGGATGAAATATGAAAATCATCATCATCAATAGCATATAGTATCATACTGTATATTAGCACCAAAAAACTATGAAGTATAAGGTTCTTTCCAAGAATGAATGGACCAGATCAGTTCAGCGCATGGCTAGGCAACATAATATCATGGATTTGTTTGAACAATTGTATTTGATAGTCAGAAATTCTTTGTTGTAAATAAATGATAATGCATCAATTTTGGCGTAACACAGCCGGTATCACTTCCATATGCCTCACACATATTATACATTCAATATACCTCTGTGAGCGGACCTTTGTGTACAACTAACTTTTCGCGCGATTTAAGTTCAACTTTTGTTGGTCTTCGATATGAAATATAGCAATGCCTGGAAATACAATTGGTGGTTAATCTCGGAAGTTTATGCTAAATTTAATAGTGTATTTCAAGAAAGTGAATGAAAACAACGCTCCTAACGCAGTTGGGAAAAATTAGCTCCGCCGATGCTAAACTTGGTTGATCAGTTTACTTATATCGTCTGATATTGATACATACCGCCAAATTCCGTGACAAGACCTTTTTTGTATATAAAGAATAAAACATTTTTTTTAAGTGTTGTTGTAAATGAGCTGATTGTTCTGATTGATCACCTTCTGTTTCTTATCTATCTATGTAAGTGTGCGTAAATTCCAATCGTTTAAGCAATCAGCATTTCTGATTATTCCGCATGTTGAGCAAGGAAAATGTTTGCCTTTTATTATGTTGCAATATACAGGACATCTATACATATGCCACTTTTCCAAACTGCAGAATAGTCAACTACCTGGTCAGAATTTGATTCATACATAAATACATCCAGAGGGTATGCCAGAATGTTACTGAATTTATTTTTTTAAAGCTGATTGTTTAATGCCTTAGAAGGGTTGATACCTAAATTGAACTGTAAGCAATGTATCAATGAAAAATAAAGTCATTTTTGATGCAAGTTTATATTAAGGACCCACTTGATAAGTAAAATGTAACATTTGTGATATAACAAATCTTGATACGTGAATTTTTACATTTTTTAAACTTTATTTAAATTTTTTGAACATAAGAATTTCTTGTTAGACGAGCTCCATCAAAAAAATAACGGGCAATATAATTCGAGTCAAGCATACACTTAACTCTTTTCAAAGGATTTTCATCGTTTCCGGACATTAGCATAAATACACCTTGTTTAGTGCTATAGAAAAAAGAACCTATCAATAATGGTTATCTTTTTGCCTTTAGTTTCCTCAACCAACCGTAGACAGCACTGTTTCGCCCTTATTAGGGCTCCTCGGTACGGTACAGGTCTAGTACAAATGGCTGCAAGCAATGCGATTTACGTCATTGCAATGTTTGGTCGGGTGAGAATAGGAATAGGAGAATATGTGCTGCAAATAATACACCAGTTTCTATTGCTGATATTTACGATTATTTGAAGTGACTTCACTTTAGTTGAGTTTAACGCGCCCAATTCATGAACAAAACGTGAGTGCTTGACAGCCAAATTGACTTTTATTTGATTTCAAAGGAACTAGATAAGTTCGCTAATAGATGCTGTTCCTGCTTTTCGTCTAGATTTCTCAAAAAGATACCACCTGGAATATAATTGTCTGATCTTAACATGTTTGGCACTCAACTGTAGGAGTACTCTGAAAAGTATGTGGTCCGTCCTCTTACTACATACTTCTTTCAAACTTAATTTTAATGTTTTGTTGTATCAGAAATTGAATGTTCTTCAGCATTAACTTCGAGTGTCCCCAAGCAGTCACTTTTACCCATTTCCGCTTTAGGTGCTCACTTGAAAAATATCGGAAACAGTGATCCATGCAAGGCTGACATGACATACTTATCAGCTGTTTTATTATAAACTATTTCTATTCCACTTAGCACCTGGAACATCCCATGATACAAAATTTGACTATTTGATATCTGCCAAAAACTCAACAACGCAGCAAGAGCATTTTTTTACATTTTACGGAAGCATCGCCAGGCCGCAGCCTGAATCAAGTGGGTCCTATTAGCCACCAATACCAGGAACTGCTATAAAAAATGTCAAGTTTGGGTATGACCCTCCTTCTTCAGGAGGAACAGCAAGAGCAAGTAGCAACTAGATGTGACATATAGTACAAATGGCAATAAATAACATATCCTCACAATAGCTGCATCACGGATACCTGGATAAATACAATATCCCTCGATTTTTGAGAAACCTGATTGACCTGCAAGCTTCCGCAACTTCGATTCCTTAATATATCCTGTCGAACCTCCATACAAGCTTTGTCCACTCCCCTACCTCAACGATCAGCTTATGGCTCCATCGCGTGCTGTGTCTCCATCGGACATCAGCCGCCACCGGCAGTCTATATCCACGTTAGTCGCATCGCGTCGCCATCGCGCCGCAGCCGCATCCGATGAATGGTTATAACAGCTCGTATTGGCGCAAGTGCATGCGCTGTATAATGTCGCGGCAGTCATTGAACACCCGCTTGATGTTCTCGGTGTCCACTGCGCACGTGAAGTGCGGGTAGCAGTAGTGCTTACCTTCGCCGGACGCCGTGCTGATACGCTGAAACGCAATGTGATCGTTAAAGTTTACCCAAAATTAGGAATGCAACTTTTTTTGTAAAAAAGGCGAGTACTGGGTACTTAGTCAGATTCCAGTACCGGGTAATTTGCTCTTGGTCATTTCACCTACCACAGCTACCCTCAACGACGGACAGGAAACTTTGCACCTACTGTTAGTGATATTGAGATTATATTTGCGTTTCTGAACGATCCCATTATTCTCAAAATTGACGCACCACACTTGTGCAACTTAGACAATTTTCGGTGAATAACAGTCGCAGGATAGCGTATTTACGATATTTTTCAGAAGTTTTGAGTTTTTATATATACAAAGAGTCGCTGTCGAATTCAACAGGTATAACATGATGATGAAATTCAATCCATATTTTGACATTACAATTAGTAATTACGTATTTACAAAAGAAGCAATATAGAAGTAATAAATTTAAAAGGTTGGAAAAGCGAGGCCCAAACTGTTCAATTTTCGAAAAATCAACTAATAGAATCGCTGCGGAGTTATGACCATCACGAACAATAAATTCAATCCTACAGGTTCCTAGGCTGGTTTTGCGAGAAGCTTACAAAAGAAGCAAAACTACTCGACGTCGTAGAGGAATCAATTCAGAATCCAAAAGGTCTAAACCTAAATTATCCTTACGCATAAGCAAAGAGTATCATTGTATAAACGTGGGCTACTCGTTATTCCTGTTACTGTCGGACTTTTGCTGCATGATTTTATTTCGTTTTGTGATTTTTGTTGTTCTTTGAGTGTTGCTATGAAACATAAGACCAAAGAAAAAAAGCAATACTGCAATGGGGTTTTAGTTTTAACTCCTATAGTAACTGCTCCATGGACTAACTTTTTTTAGGAAAAAACATACAGCAGTAACACCTCGTATATAAAAAATGAGCTGCGCATATATCGTAAATACACTAACTTGCTACAGCAGACGGTCGATATTTACTAGAAACACACAAGTCAGGCAACTAACTGCAGCAAAAGTATGGTGGTGCGTTAATTTTTAAGAGAACATATCAGGAAAGTTTGGTAAAGGCATATGAGCTCAGACTTTCCACATCACCTCTGCAATTCTTTAATTTACAAAAGTTGTATGTCTTGCGTTCAGACCGAGGAGTTACACGGGCAAGTGATTAAATACTCGGTGAAACCAGATATTTGGTAGAATGGGTCGAGTATGCCAAGTTTTGGGTACAAATCAAGTAATCGGTGATTCCCTGCCCAAAATAAAGAATGTCCCAAAATTTACACCAGCAAATTCAAATGTTCAAATAGTACACCCTTTACCTAATACCTGATCATAACCTGAATATGTTGAGGTTGAAGTGTTAAATAAGGTCGATAGTGTTTGATTTGACTACTTATACTAATAATAGCGTGGTTTCACACGCGCAGCCGACTGCCGACCGGTTACCAGGTAATGGTAATAATGGCATAATTTTCTCGTCATATTCAATTGCAGTAGACAACTTACCAGGAACTCATCTCTTATAAAGTACTTGGCTCTGAAAACTTCAGGTGGATCATTTGCATCATTCATCACACCGGCAGGCAGCTGATACCGTCCGAATTCCGCAAAATAGTCTTCTAGTTTACTTTTACCTAGAAAGAAAAATATAGCTCAAAAATAAAAATGCACCAAGAAATTTAGTACGACTAGTTGTTGTAAGTAACAAATCTCCTCTTCAGATCTATAAAAGCCTACATAAATAGGCATTAAGGTCAACCTAACAGGTTTTCAAATTAAGGCTGGAACAATACAGGTTGTGTTTGAGATATTGAAAAAATTGTTTTTATCTGAAGGTGTCATAGTAAGTACTGTGTTGTACGAAATATGACATTGGTCAAATGCCCCCAAGGGCTTGACAGTGGCATGGGGCTAAAGGGTCCAATTTTCAATGATTATATTCCATAGATCCAGACGGATTAGGTGATGAGACATTAATAACATGATTGCTTATTGACAAAGACTTTAGAAAACTCCATAAAAAAGCTTGGTGACCAAATCACGTGTTCCGCAAGATAGGCAACGTCATTGAAAATTGGACCCCTTGGATCCGTACCACGAAGTCACGACGTCGTACTTCATACAAATTTCAAACAAAAACATGCACCACTTGTCCTTAGAAAAAAGGAAAATTTTCCGAAATATACATTTTGGAAAATATGCCGTTATCTCATCGAATCGACAGTGTGAATTTCTGGAAGCTTTATAACATTGACAACAGAATTGTGGTGAAATCTGGGTAGTGTTTGCAAAAATCACATTTAATACGTTCATAAAAAAAATGAAAACTTACCCGCCAGAATCTTCTCAGCGAGCAGATCCTGCTTGTTGAGAAACAGTATGACGGATATGGTGCGCAGCCACCTGTTGTTCCAGATGGACTTGAACAGGTCGAGGCTTTCGCGCAACCGGTTCTGCGTCGGGTCCTCCCTGAGCACCATGTTGTACGAGCTAGACGCCGTCACGAAGATGATCGCCGTCACGTCGTTGAAGCACTGGATCCACTTCCGCCGCTCGTCGCGCTGACCGCCCACGTCAAACATACTGCAAGAAAGTATCACTGTTACTAAGCCGTTCGAAAGAAGCTTCCATCTATGCGGTATATACAGGGTTTCCGCAAAGTTTGGGTTTTCCTTTACACGACGTGTAGATCTTGAAAAAATAAGCGGATTTTCTTAGTAGCACATACACCAATGTCTTAAGAGAACCGAGATATGGGGCTCCGTAAACGCAATCAAACCTGAACCAAACCGAAGCCGGTCCTATCATCCCTCGATCACGTCCACAGCGCCAGCGTACAGTTATACGACGTACGACTACGATGTAAATAAAATACGCTAGTATGCAACCTAACCTAGACGCCGGTTGTGTAAGTCAATAAACCATAAAAATTGAAAAAAATGGCACACTCATACACCAATAGCGAACTAGTCGACATGCTGTTAATTTATGGTGAGTATCTTCCAAATGCGACCGAGACTTCGCGAGTGAATGCAGATCGTTTTCCCAGAAGTCATCATCCAAGGCCCCGTAGATTTGTTTACCTTATGCAGAGACTCGGGGATACGAGTCGTTTGGAGGAATGTCGAGGTGGGCACAGTGGGAGACCTAGACAACCTCGAATGGTACAAAATGAGGAAGAAGTACAGAATCTCGTAGACGAGAATCCTTCAACAAGCACTAGGGACGTGGCTAGACAAGTGCAAGTGTCGAAGACTAAAGTGTGGCAAATGCTGCATGATGAGGGATTGTACCCGTTTCACGAGCAACGCGTACAAAACCCTCCAAGCTGAGGATTTTCTTACAAGAGTGCGGTTTTGTGAGTGGTTGTTGCACCAATGACTTTTTGAACTGCATATTAGTCACAGACACATCCACGTTCACGCGTAACGGGGTGAATAACTTCCGCAATAATCATGTGTGGTCAGCAGAAAATCCTCACGCTGTCGGTCGGTCACACTTTCAACAAACATTTTGTGTGAATTTTTGGACTGGTATGGTAAACGTCATGCTCATTTGACCATTTATTCTCCCGAATACAATACCTTGTTCTTAAATGAATCATTTCCAATATCCAAATGGCCTCCGCGATCTCCAGACTTAACACCGTGTGATTTTTTTCTTTGAGGCGAAATGAAACGCTTGGTGTACAAAACTGACGTGCACACGGTTGACGAATTACGCCTGATAATTGAGCAAGCTGCTCCATTCATTCGGGAAAGGGACTCCACTCTAAAAGCCTGGACAGATGCTTGGCTGCCGCGAGCACGAACATGTGTTTTTGAATCCAACGCCGACAACTTCGGACAGTACTTGTAAAATACGTTCACCAAAAAAGAGTGACACTGGCGTCATATTCTCGATTTAATTTTTGTTATTTTTGTGGCATGTGCTCCTCGGATTTTACGACAGAGCCGTACGTGGAATTCAACTGAACAGTGAGTGCTTTTTCATTTATTTTTTTTACTTGTTCGCTCACGTTTCACCACACATGAGCTTTATTATATCAAGCGTAGTTGTATCTGAAAAGCAAAACCCCAACTTTGCGAAAACCCTGTATAGTTTATTTCACGGTTACACTAAAACTACCAACATCACTTTTATACATCCATCTCCCTCACATATACTCGTACATATGCAATCGAGCTCTGTTCGCGAACGTTTGTTTGTGTAACCTCAGACATACGCTCATTAGCTTCGTCACGCCCACGTACGACTGTTACTAATTTATGCTTGTCTACCAGGCTACCATTGAGTTTACCTTTTATTGATATTAGTAATATGAAACAGCAGTACCTGAAAACACAACTAACAGCCAATATCGATAGTTTTTGCCAAAATTATTGGAGTATTTTGAGGTGAATGAAAGTAATGCTTCCGATGCCAAATGTGAAGAAATCGTGAAGAATTTAGGTTCACCCCATGAATATTTTAGATTCCCCTAAAAACTGGGAACATATGAGGGCTTATCGTCATTATTGAACGTCTCTTAGAATTATTTCAATGCACATTCAGATAGTTCATTCCTAAGGAAGATTGATTTACCACACTATGGCGATTTTATGATTACTCGTAGTTGTTGAATGTTGACAGTCCGCCAGTGCGCTTATCGTTCAAAAGATAGTAAATGTATACTCTAGGGTAATAAAATATTGATAATGAGATTCAAAATGAGGTATAACATGTACTCCTCATTGCAGTTCGAAAAAAATATTTCTAAATGGTGCCCAGTCGCAATCTTGAAATGTTCATTTATCACTTATAGTTAGAATATAGTTTTCATGCACCAATCTTATTGCTCGAAATTTCAGCTTGCTAACTTGACCCATCCAAAAAATAAATGGAGGTCAGAAACTTTTTGAACACCCTATAATTTTAATTGCTGGTTGCCTATCCACACCCGAGACTTAAAAAAATAATGCTACATTTAAGCATTAGCTTTTCAGCGAGATGAGTGATGAAATTGGAGTTGGATGTTTGAGGATGATTGAACACTTATTTGCTACTTACTGGAAGTTGACCTTGTCAACTTGGAAGAGCGTTTCAAAGATGCCGCTGGTAAGTACACGACAGCGCAGCATATCCTGCTGCGACGGCGAGTAGTTCAGCTGTCTTACTATACTAACTCGGTCCAGGAAGTATTTTGCACAGTCTATTAATTGATACTCATTGCTCCTTTCGAAGGTAGCCTAAAAAAAATACAATCCTAGATGCATGAAGTTGCAGAAGAAATAATATAAAACAAAAGTTTTGCGTTATAAAGCATTGTTACCCAATCACATACAAAAAGTTTTTCGTCTCGATGTTGAGATGTTGGGTAGCTTTACTGACGTTTCGGTCTCGGTGCCCTTTTTCAAAGCCCCAACAAAAAATCTCGATTATATATTTGTCTTTTAGAATAAATTACCTGAACACCTTTATCCTTCCAGAGAGCCTCTACATAGTCATAGAATTGATCTGTATATTCGAAATTCGGGTCGTTCTTCATACTCAATACCCAGTCTAGTTTTTCTTTATTCTCCGGTTTCTCTAAGCTTACTGGCGGATTTATTGCGTTCATTGCCTCTAAAATTGTCTGCAAAAAAATACTAGGTCAGGACATGATTCAAATATGGTCATTTCATGCACAAGATATATTATTTTTGCTGTATACAAGTTAGTTGTTGTGTACACACTATACCAGTGAGTCGCAGTGGGGGAACGTGATTGACCTACCCATAAAAAACCTAACCTAAAAGCCCTGTAATGTTGAAGAATCTATTTTTCGAGCTTTGAAATTTTATCCTGTTCTTCAAAAATTGGCAATTGAAAAATTCATGCTGCCGTTTTCTAATTCATTTTTGAATCTACAATAATTCACTGACATACAGTAATTAACAAAAGTATATAGACAAATTAATATTGTGCTGTATTTCTTTTTTAACTTGTTTTATTAATACACCAACCTGTATACATAATTCGTTATAGCATAATACTCACATACACATAAATAAATTCATTAGACTCCCTTCAATAAAAAATTAATTGAAAAAACTGGAACTATGAAGGACAAAAATTTATAGACAAAACAAAACAATTATAAAAAAAAGAAGCAAAGTTCACTGAATTATAGAAAACCAACCATGTTTGCATTAATATTTTGTAGCATAACCATTATTATCAATCACCGCCTGACATGGTCTCGGCATAGATTGTAGAAATTTCTTGATATAAGATTCATCAATTTGTCTCCACTTTTCCTCTAAAGCGGCAAAAAGTTCATCCTTGTTTGAATAATTTTTATCTCGTATTTGCTTATCTAAGTATTCCCATAGATTTTCAATGAGGTTTATATCGGGAAACTGTGAAGGCCATTTTTTCATCCAGAAAGAATTTCTTTGCGAGATTTGAAGTGTGCTTCGGGTCATTATCTTGCTGGAAGATTGATCTAAAGGGCATATTGTCTTCCATATAGGATAACATGACATGCTTTAGTATGTCTGTATATACAAACTTATCCATAAGGTCATCTATTCTATGTAAAAGTCCCATCCCAAACCCCGAAAAGCACCCCCAAACCATAACAGACCCGCCTCCATGTTTGACAGTGGGCAAAGTGTACTTGGGGTTCAATCTTTATCCACTAGGACGTTTAACGTAATGAACACCATCTGATCCAAACATATTGAACTTGGATTCGTCACTGGAACATACCCTCTTCCAGTCACAGATGCTCCAATCAAGATGCAACCGTGCAAATTGTAATCGGTCCTTACGGTTATCCTCGAGATAAGCGCCTTCTTACTCGGGCGACGTGCAAATAACTTCAAATCATTTAATCTTGTACTTATAGTTTTTGTAGAAACACTGACAATTCCTTTTGTCTCGATTTCGGCTTTTATTTGTCTTGAGGGTTTTAAACGGATCTTTGGACAAAATTACTTTTATTAATCTGACTGATCTATCATTTAGTTTTCTATTCCGACCACTTCTCTTAGAGGCTTCCAAGATACCTTTTTGTTTATATTATGTACACAAACTGCTTTACGCTTCAGCTTCAAATTTTTGGCAATGTCGACTTGACATTGGCCATCTTTGTATAACTCAATGATCTTAGTTTTCACATCGAAAGAAATTTCTGGACCACACGGCATGGTCTTTAAATCACTCAACTTATTCCACAATACTTGATGAACACAAACTAATCCTCTTCTGACACGAAACTGTACTAAGCTAATGTTGAAAAGAATTTGACTACATATTTTTGCCGTCATAAAAAGTGCTTATATTCAGACTTGTATTGTGTTCATTGCAGATAATGTAAAAACAAGGAATTTAGTTTTTCTACTAATAACGCATTTGTTTATGGAGCAATGAAGTATGAATTCGTTTTCTAAAGGTATTTAGGTAAATATTCATATTTGTCTATATACTTTTGTCCATTACTGTATATGTCGTAATAAAATAAATAAAATACATAAAACGGAAATTTTAGCAAGGACTTTTTGAACATAGCAAACGATTCAGTTTGACGATAACGAGGTGACTTTTTTTTTGTTTAATGCACGTTCCAATACAACTCAATTCGAACACAACAAATCATGAAAATGGTTGCAGGAGTACATACCGGATGCTCCACGAAACCTTTTTCCGGAGCAGCCGCGTAGGCAGAAGCCTAAATATCGGGGCACCGCGGCTGCTAAAAGAAGCCAATAATTCGGAGGAAACGCGTGGTTGTCCTAGAGTTACAACTTCTAGGTGTTGTCTTGTTCAACTACACCAAAAATATCAAAGAAAATCTAGTGCTCATTATCCGTAATAGCCAATAACAATAGTTTGTGTAACAAATCCATTTTCCAATTTTATTACTTCAATTGTGATCGTACAGATGAAATAATTATAGGTCCAGATTGATTCTATTGGGATGCTCTCATCTCCAGAAATATAACTTGTAAATTATACCCTAAATAAAACAAGCAACCAAACAATCATACTGAGTTCTGCGACACCTTTGGTGTAGGTGAACGTTCAAATACAGCACCATTTTGGGAAACACGTTAATTAATGATTACCTATTATACTTACAATAATAGATTCCTTAATGTTGACTTTGATATCTTCCGTCTTTTGCTTCTTCTCTTTCTCGCTGAATCCGTTCGAATGCAACACGCGCATTTGTTTGACGATTGTCGATTTACCGGATTCTCCCGCGCCCAATAACAGCAGCCTATGAGTTGCCCGGTACACCACCTTCTCTTTGGCTAGTTGCCTGCAAATAAACAAGTAAACATAAAATTGAAGTCACCTTGTGGCAATGATTCTTTAAATGTCTTTATTGGTTGATACAGCACTGGAAGCATTACCCATTTCCTGCCAGATTTATCCATATTCTGGATATTCCCGAAACGAAGGAGATGTACCGATCGATTCTGGGATGGCCAAAGTATTGACATATCGGTAGTTAAAAACTAAGGAAACAGTCCTTGCATGCAGTAAGAAGTTCAGCTTGAAAAGTACATCAAATAATTAAATGTTCCATCACAAAGTTAACTTTGCGTTTGGAGATAAGACAGATGGACAACACCGAGACTTCCGCACTTTTCTCCCGAGAATGACACAGGCCTGGGAAGCAACTCTTCTATCAGTGTCAGAAATTTCCCTCGAAAGGGGCATGGCAGTGTTGAAAACATATTAAGAGCCTTTCCTATCAGACAGAAATCCAAACTTTTAAACAGATGCACACATTTTCATTGAACTTTGATAAGAACCATTTCCACAACCAAGACTTTTGATCAAGTAAACTTGATTGAGTCATACAGGAAAATGGGTCCAACTTTTAAGAGTCTTGAATGATTTTCATTAAAAGACCCTTTCAGCTGATACCCAATACTGGTATGTTTGTTTACTTTTAGTTATTAAAGAGCTGACCCAATTTGCATCAAACATAGCTAAGCACTATATTGATAAACAGACATTTGATTAAACAGATTCAAATTGGTTTAACCATTAGAGAGCTATGATGTCACAGACAGATTCACACATTCACACGTGAAACTTATAACATCCCTTATTTTAGATGATATAGACATTCCTATTACCTGTTAATTTGGTCGGAGATCCTTTTCTGCGACCGGATATCTTCGGACGCCTGGGAGGAGGCGTCCCTGTTCCCGAAGCAGCCCATGGCCGCCAGAGGGGACCACCAGCAATCGGCCCCCTTGTCGGCGGCCACAGGGCCACACTCTGGACCCGACGCCACCGTGGCTGGTTATCTGTGAGTAAACAGACACTATAAGTTTAGGAAATTTTTGTATCTTATCTTACTTTTGTCTTTAATCAGAATATCATAAATATCAAACCTCCATACAGTAATGATTTTTTTTTGTTTTCCAAGACAACAAAAAAAGCTTCAGTTTGAAGGTGGCAATTTAAGAGATAATCCAGAAAATGTTTGAATTTCAAGGCCAAGGGTTTTGATGTTTTTGTTTTATTAGGTCACAATAATTTGCAACACTCATTTTTGTCAGTCTCCCTGTTATAGTGTTTTCTGAAACACATACTCTCAGCAAATGCTACACTGATTTTGATAGAAGTAATGAATAATGTTGTTTAGTAAGTAAAGTTTTTGATCACTATGGAGAGAAGTAAAAAATTATTAACTTCCTGAAATATAATTTTTGAATAAAATTCATCATTCAAGCTTCATGGTCTGATGATACCTTGGAAATACTCCTGTGCATTTTTCTGCACAATATTTGTTTTGCAACCCCGATAAGAGAAATATAAATAATTAACTGTTGATTTTCAATGTTTGATGGCTTTTTCAAATTGTTTATGGCTGAATTTTGAGACTGTAATCTTCTGCCAAAAAAAATCTTTTCTCATTTACAACAACTCTATATGATTCTCTTGTTTAAATATCAATGGAACTGAAGACTTATTATTCTTAATAAAGAACCTATTTATTCTCTAGGTATAGTTTAGGTATTTTCTAGGTATAGCAAGAAGAGAGAGAATTTACACAATAGATTGCCATCAAGAGTGATGAGACTTTCCAAATTTAGTTTTACAAAGAAAGTCGATAAATTAATTTTTAATAATATTGTTTTAATTTCTGAATAATTTTCAACTGTCTTTGTTGTATCAAGCTGTTAATATGTATCTTGTTTTAGCCTATTCCTCTTTTTTTGTACCGAGCTTTCTTTCATTGTGTTGTTTGTTCAGTGAGTGCCTTGTCAGTATGTGCTCGTGACATCTTCTTTTTGATCTGCTTTTCAATTTGTTTTTCCAAGAAAATTGTACTGTATTTTTTATGTAGCCCTGGTTGGTGGTGAGAGCAGCTTTATGGCTGATATCTGCCAGGTAAAATAAATGCCTATTATTATTATTAGTATTGAGTTTATTTAGCTAATATGTTTATATAATGTTTAAACCCCCAGCCTGACATTTTTCCCTGGTTTACCTAAAATCTGTCACAATCAAAATATTACCTGACCCTGTCAAATATGTATGTATTATGTGGCATAATCAATATGAAACCATAGTAGCAATTTTTCTTAGTTGATATTGAAAACCGATTCACCCTTACACACCACACACAAGTGTACTTTGTGGACAATCTGACAGTTCACTCATGAGTAAAATACTTTCATCACATATTTTGTTAAGCTCCTATCTGTAACTGAACATTACCTTCTTATTTCATACATGAAGATAAATGCTATACACCCAAATTTTTTACTGATACATATGCAACAAGAAAGCAAAACTCAGAATCTAGAGTTTGAGGATATAAATGCATCTTTAGGCAAATATAGCCTTTTACATCAATAATAACTGACATCCCAGCTCATTGGTCAATAAATATCACATTCCATCATAATACTCATAAATAACAGTGAATACTAATCATTTTGCATTTGCCTTTTACTTTTATATTTCCAAAATATATAATATTTAATATACATATATAATATATATTAGAGGTAATAACAATGATATCTAGGATGTGCACTAAATCAAGTTATACACATTAAGAAAGTGACAGCACTGTAGAACATGACGCCACAATTTACACATATACAGTACTTTTGTTTCCTGAATATGCTTACTGTCACCTTACCATGCAGTTCCCAAAATCTAAAACAGGATGGAAATGTTTAAACATTTTTTTAATGCACTCTATTTGTCATTATCTATTAAAAAGGTCTGTAAAAAATGGTGTTTTTAACAGCATCTCATGAAAGCTGTCAATATTGAGCATGTTTTTGTGGAACAAGGTTATCATTTTTTTGAACCACAAAACAAGAATAATTAGGAGTTTATCAAAATATTTAACAGTGTCTGATGTGATGGAAACCACACACCAAGCTGGAATATAAAAAGTACTAAATTATAAAATTGAGGATAATGACATGATAAAAGTTATTTATAGTATAGTAAATAGTACTAAATACTGGTTAATATTACATCATTCAACTGAAGTACCTGAGTTATAATGAATGAAATCACCAAGCCCATATTTTTAAAATAGTCACATAACATTTGAGTGCATCAATGATTCATGTTTGTTATTGACATAGACTGAATATAGACAATTTACAATTGAAAGAAATTTGTGGATGGTGACTGAGAGATATGAACTATTTAGCTACATTCTGTTTTTAATATAGAATATTGCCCAACAAAAATATATGATGTCTGACACTGATAAAATGAAATCACCTGCTATAAAAACAATCATAGCTACATTGGGATTTTATCATAATAAAGAAATCAACTGAATTTTTTGGGGACAGCCACCTTCCAAAATGCAACTGCATAGTCTAGACAGGTGATCAGAAGTACCTTGAAATCATTTGAATGCTAGTAATGTGGAAGCAGGTGTAAAAAACAAAATTACCAAGTACTTATTCCCTGAGAACCCAGTGAGACAGTTCCATAACGTCGATTCGAATGACCATCAAATCTTGACAAGTTGTATCCATTCATGCTCTGCTACCTGACGTTGTTGTCCTAATGACATGCTGCGGTATTGTTGCGATACACAAAAAAAGGCGAACAACCACAGTTTGTTTATTAACGAGAAAATTGGCGTTATTTTTTAATATACAGACTAAAAAAATGGCCTCCTGATATCCTATCTTTATGGACCTATGGACACGCTAGTTATTTTTACTTGACGATTTTCAAAAATAGGCGTATGTGCTTAGACAGGCACAAATATTTGTAGTAACACAACACAAAACTACACAGGCATATTTTAAAAATAGAACCTGGCTAATATTCTATAGTTTTATCAGGAAGCTCTACCGGAGCTCCTAAAAACTACTCGATAGGTACACCCTGACAATCGACTTTTGGTCAAATTGTTCGTTCCCGCACTCAAAGCACTGAGAAAACGGAACTGGAGGGTGGCCGGAGCGACGGAACGCGGTGCACTTGGACTGCTTGTCGATCTTTTTGAGAATTATACATAGTTTTTGGATCAATTTTGATGGAAAACTCCTGAAATATACAATTGACTTTATACGGCCTTGCTGAACGCGGCGCCACTGGCGCTGTCATTCATGCGCATATCGTCTGCTCTTTGGAAAATCACCCGACTGATGTGACATTGGGTATAGGCAACACATCATACACAATGATATCGATTTTAAATTTATAGACCGGTCGTCAAGGCAATAAGATCAACCAAGAGAAAGGTGGGGCCAGGTGATTTTTCATGTCAATATCTACATTCATATACTTTTCATTTAGTATTGATACAAGGTCTATTCAGTCTATGATGTTTATGTTGGGAAGCTTATTGCTCCCATCGCTCATGTGAACAGTTTCTGATTTTAAATGTCAAGTTTTTTGGGTGTTTTATCATGTCTACATCACAAAAATACATTTATGTCAGTCTATTTCCTAACATATTTGCATACCCACAGTCTCAGCAAGACAAATGTAACATGATCAGTATATATTTACTATGATCCGTTATATTTATTCACCGTGTAATCAGGACGTCATACTAATGTAACAGGTTACATAGAATCCACTAAAGCTAAAGAAAAATGGAGACTGGTTTCATTATATCCAAGGGAGCTACTCAGTTACTGGGATTCTAATTGGCAACATGTCTATGACGAGAATATGAATAAGAAAGTGTGGATGTTTGTTATGCATTCAGCTGAAATTATTTTGAAATACCTTTACCCCATTTCACGATTATCCATCACGCGTTGAAGTCTACTCAGATGAACAGCTGATCAGCAAGTGACATTTTTGTGTTAGTCTGCGACGTTGGCAATAATGAATCGGGTGTAAATCTAGTAAAACTTGTTTGTAGCATTTTGTTTTTTGTATGCTAATGAACATTTCTAAATAAAAGAGCTGTTAACAAGTACAAAATGAATCTGTTGCGTACAAAAAACCAAAACAAAATACGGCTCTGACTACCTGACGTTGACGGATCCGTTAGAATTATGTGTCCTGTATCGATATGGGTAATTTTGAGATATTACTAGGTAATCAGCTGACATTCTACCGCGATGGATATGCGTGAAATGGGGTATATTTCACGGGCTTCAGCCGAAGCGGCTTGATGAAATTTGATATGAGGACGCGCTCAGTCGCTGGTCCGGCCGAAATGAGTACAAACAGATTTACATCTTGCGTTTACAGCATTTCGACATTCGTTTTCTTAGCGCCATTGTCGTGATTTATATTTGTTTATTGTTTTGTTTTACTTCAACCTCAATCTATATTGTATCTGTACGAGAATTTTTGAAAGCATGGGTAACAAATTGGGTCGAAGATGTTTGCATTCAGTAGAATTTAGGATTTTATGGACAGTTATAATCAAGGTGGTACTTTTCTAAACACTGTTAGACCTCTTTACGTTAGCTGAATGCACCTATTCTGTGCTAGGTTCCTGCCCTGCGGTTTTAGCCGCAACACTTGTGGATAAGACCACTAATAAGCCAAATAACTAATGGCATCAAAGATAAAAAACGTGATCGGAAGTTTATAGCATTACTTAAAAACAATGTCTTGTGTCAGTAACAGTTTCAAATGTACCAAGTCGCGAGTAACAGCTAGTGCAAAATAAAACGTCAGTATGCCTTGATGGTGAAACGGTTCGAGTAGAGAGATGGCAGGCCGCGCTGTTGCCGGCTTGACGCTGACGTTGGAGGTTTTCATACTTTTGCTACAACAGTTGATTGCAAAATCGAATTACGGAGTAGCAGCATCTCAGACGTGTGAACAGCATTCATGGCACAGTCTTTTTAGTTAATGCGCACGCTACGTCTTTGACACCACGTCAAATCGCAGCAAGACCTGCAATGGATAGCTTTTTATAAATAAAACTACAACTTTATAATGTAAATTATTGGCGTTTATTTCACAACACAGCATATACACAATATCACTCGCTCTCGCACTCGCAACATTATTAAAAATTAGGCAACTGCAACAAAAAAGTTGCATTAAAAAATATAAGTATTAATCAAGGAAATAATATCAAACACTACAACAATTTCACTAGAAAATATTATTTTTGAGACCATCGCAATGCGGCGCGTAATAACAAAATGGAATTTCATGGTTTATAATCAATGCAATTTTGCAATAAATAAGTTTCCTTATAAATAATAATACATAAACCAAGAAAAAATATACAATAAACCTAAGCTAGTACGTGATGTGGAATTACATCTAACCCCTATACATCTACATCCACTCAGGATAGCTTAACTAAATATAACCTTTTCTGTATATCGTAGTTTTGATTAAATAAGGACAAAAAAGAAAAAATGTGTTCACACGATAGTTCATCATACATTGTTTCAGGTAGACCGCATGTTATGAAAATTAGAACTAAACTAATTCATGTCATTAAAAAGATTTACTAAGACCATGACTTTGGACGTGGTTGTACCTGCACTTTAACTAACACGTTTTACATTACACTGCTTCAAGGTGTAGATATAAACCGCTGTCACTCGGTTATGGCCAATTTTTTATAGCACTCAAAGCAACGCAATATTTGTGAAACACTTTCTAACAAAAACTATGAAATCGATACAGATTTTTGGTTACATCTAGTTAACAGCATCCTGTGAAAATACCAGATGTATTTAGAGCACCAGTGTTATGACTACGTAAATTCTGCTATCATATTTAAACACGTAATTTATCTCCTTTTTTTTGGCTTGGCTGTTATTATTACTCTGGGCTAAACATTATAATATTTTATTATAATATCACCCAAAAATAAATATATCATCTCAGGAATATGTATAGTTAACCATTCGTCTGGATACGAATATCTAATACACACATATAGGAAATACGCTTTTTTGTTTTGAAGATTTTATCGTGTTAAGTACTTGTTACAAATACCCCCACATATAGCAGATAACTCGAAAAGTGGAAGTTTGAAAATTACCAGCAAATCTCAGAGTGATATGATCTCAATATTCGCTGGTATCTCTCAAATAACCTTTCTCAGGAAACCATCTATATTCGTAACACTTGAATAATAAAATTGACAGCAACTTTCAAAATTCGCAGTCTCCAACAAACTAGATATCAAAAATAACGCACTGTTGAAGAATAATGGCCTGTTTTGATCTATCCATAACAATGTTATAATAAAAACGTAAAACGACTATTTACAAAGATTGATAGATTGTACCTCAAATATTGGAAGAACTATGAAACATGACATTAAAACAAACACTTTATACAGAATTACTACAATTCTTGCTCATCAGCCAATATATATTGAGCGCCGTTATTTTGGTCGAAAGTAATTTGATATAATATGATATTATGTTGATCAATGAAAACTTACTTAAGATATCAGAAGTAAATTTCATAGTAATTACCACTGTTCACTGTTTCAAATATCACAAAAATTATCCTATTTTTCAAATTACTTTCTATGAAATATATGCGAGGTATAATGTTAAGTTCCTGGTGGACTTCAAGTTTTCATTGCAACATTTGAAGAGTACAAGACACTTTGAGTATTTTGTGCTGTTATCACGATATCACGTTAAGTTGTGCTTAAATTTGTGCAAAAATGTTATAAACGTAAAGTACAAAATTTTTAGTAGACCACACAACTATGTTTACAAGACAGAAAAAAGATACAATACGAAATAATACGCAAATATTGCACTGTCACTTGGAAAAACTATAACGTGTTATGAAACAACAAAGTATACTTGTTTCCCTCGACAAAGTTTTTAAGCTAGTTGAGATTTGAAAAAATAGAGAACCACAGAGGAACTATAACATTAATAACGTTAATACAGGCTCCAGTCAACGTTGCATTCAAAAGAAATACTAGCCCAGCATTTTAGGAAACAATTAATTCAACTAAAATCTTAATTTGTTGGATTCAAAATGTAGGTGAGCATATTATTTGCATCCATCTTTCATTGATGGAACCTGGATATAAGCTGCCCAGAAAATACAACTGCAAAATTTCAAAATCAAGGAACTGATATTTATACTCTACAATTTAGCTTGTTATATTAATTTTACAAAATACAATGTGCTAATGCCTGTATCACGCTATGCGGCCTGAAAATTTTAGACATGGTCTCCACAGCACTTCATTTATGTCGATAAATCCATGGTTCAAATTCAGTTCGTAACACTATTAATAGAGAAAGACGTTGAATAGTACAGCCTACGACCAGCGTTGAATTTCAGTTTGATGATATGCTTTTTGCTCATAATTTTTACTGATATCTCAAGCAACAACTACCTATATGGACACCACTGCAAAATCTATTTTTAATAATACTAAGTGTAGCAACTATTCAGAAAATCATTTAGTGCCTGGACGGAATTGGTGCACAGGACTAGTGTGGGTTTCCTAAGGGACTGTTTTATACAGGAAATGTGTAATAAAGTTTATTGTCGCTAGCATGTTACTCCCTTGCCAAGTGATAATAGGTAGACATATTGTCTATGTCTAACCCGTCTGTCAAAAACCGTTCAGTACCTTCAGCGCTGTACTGCAAATAAGACGCAAACATGACGCAACATTGTGTCTGTTCATACTTTTTCTGCTGCTCAACTAGACCAACAGGATTTAAGCATGGTGATTTCATAATACCAGTAAAAATAAAGATAAAAAACTAGTTTATCTGTACAAATTATTCAAATTATACATTTAGGGAAGTAAATAACCTGTTTGCATATGGACATAAATTAATATACTTTATCTGGGCTATAATTTAGATGGTACCGCAAAGGACTTGTCCGCGCTTGCAAGCCGCACAGCCATGATAAGCAAATAAGAGGTACAGACCTGCGCTCAGAACTGTAATCAGGGTATCAGGAAATGAAGGATAGAGTCAAATACGTTGTTCGTCAATATTTCTAGTTCTATTGTGTGTGAATATCGTATTTTATGAAAAGCCTAAAATATCCAGAAATTTTGACCACTTGACAAATAAATTCCACTATTTTGGGATGAGCAAAGTATTTCCACTGATATTACCCAAAAATCACTGTTCAATTAGGACGAAATTTTAAATTATTAATCATTGGCAACTGTTTTTTTCAAAAAAACCACTAACCGATTTAGAAAAATTGAAGATTTATTAACTATTGAAAATTCTTTCGAAATTCATTTTTTCTAGTTCCTCTACATCTTCTACCACGTGCTAACCGACTCCTGGTAGAAGATGTAGAGGTACTAGAAAAGATGAAATTTTGAACGAATTTTCAATATGTTTTTTTGAAATAAACATAGCTATGGTTTTGCCAATAATAATTAAAAATTTCGTCCTAATTGAACCTCATCGATCCAGCTTTTTGTTCGTTGACTATGTGTTTTCTTCCTCTGTCGCTTAAGAACAATTTTAGCAACAATCTCGCCGACTTACTCCTGATGATGATGGCATAGACCATCGAAAGCTAGAGTTTAAGCTAAAAGAGTGTACCTATGCAAAACTTTGCCTCCATCTCAAAGAAATTCAAGGACACTTTCTCCTAACAAGTTAAGGCAATTAACTGTGAATACTGTATATATATGATATACTGATATATTTTTTCGTATCTAAGTCCCCTGCTCGAGACATCTTGAGATGAATGTTCAACAGAGTCTTTCAAGGCAAAGCTTGTACTCTGAATAAGGTTTTTAATTAGGAACTGCCATCCCTCTTACAATGATCGTAAATCTGTAGCTCCATACAGGCACAATATTTCACAAATGCTTTAATAAGAATATAAAGCCTTTGTTGCTCAAACCCGATGGTAGGATCGCCATGTGATACTCTTGAAGGTAGGGGTGACCAAGTTGCAGGGTTAAGGAAACATACTCAATCGTTGTCTACTTTATTCTCCCAAATACAATATATTTCCTGCTTACACCATAATTAATGCATACTTAAGATTTTCTTGTTTTGCTATACACTTTACACAAAGCGCCAAAGTTCACTTCTCTCATATCTTTTTATTATTATACCAATACACTATGCAGACCATCGAGATTGGTTGACATTTTCAATATCCACTGTGACAATGATAAAAAATAATCTTTCTGAGGTGAAATGTAATACCTTCTCAAAACTAAGATATTATTCAAATACCCATTTGTCCCTAATTGGCGGTTTCCCAGTTTTATTGCATTTTTACCATGCCCGCAAAGATACAAGCAGACATCTCTGTCGCCTTATATATTTATGAAGATAGATTCGCTGTCTTTAGAATAAAATTATTCGAACTAAAATTAAGCGCATTAGCGACAAAGTGGGCGGTAGACAAACTCAGTTTAACGTCTTTCTCTGTTAAAAAACTTTTATATAAATTGTATTTGAACTCTAGGATTATGAAATATATATATAATGAGGTGTAATAGGACCTGGGCCTCCGACAACGCTCCGACTTAAAAATAAACCATGAAAAATAAAAACATAACGGTAGTAGTGCGTTTCACTATTATTTGTTCTTTAGAAGTCCTCGCTCGACTTATATATCAGTATAAATATACAATTACATATACATTTACTTGTGTGTGTGTTTCATTCTTTTCCTAACCAGTCTTTTCGCGTTCCCCGTCTCTCTCTCTTTTAGCGTGAGCCCCGCTTTACGTGAAGAAGGACCTGGCAGGTCGATCTCAGGAGGCGTACATGCGCTTGATCTCGTGCTTGTATCGCTCCTGGATGTCTTTCCTCTTCAGCTTGAACGCGGCCGTCACCAGGCCCATGTCTGGCGACCAGACCTCGCTCACCAGCTTCACGGCCGCGGGAATTTCGAATTTCTCTAGTTTACCTACGGACAAATATATCAATCAGCAACGCTTTTTTCTCTGGCAAAAATGTTGACAGAAAGCTAGATGTGCAAAAAAGACAATAAGTTAGGCTTGTACCATAACGGAAGCGTGACTGATTTGTTGTTGTAATAGGTAGGACCTTTTACGCGGGAGAAACGCATCAGAATTGTGCTGACGTACTGTGAAAAAATACTCATTTTTTATGACAATAACCATGATAGAAATGCGTTAGTGTCTGAAGAACACAATCATTCTCAATTACAAAGTTAACTTTAAGCTATAATATAAATATATAAATATAAATGGATCTTAAGTAGGTTAATTGTAGAACTCACACGGCGGGATATCTCTAAATTGGTAATTCATTTGATAGCATCAGTGAGTCGCATGTAAATTTTCAGAACATTATACAGGGTTTGTCCGGAAAGTAATAGGACTCATTTTCTTCCGCCATGACTGTACTTCGGAGCATGCGTGCACCGACTGGATTCGGTAGAGGGCGTTCCTAGCTAACGAATGAGCGGCTGATCAGTTGTCTCCGAGCACTAGGAGAGTCAGGACAGGCATTTTCGCGCGACGTGTTTCTGTGAGTGATGCAAGCCGAAAATGCAGCGTTCGTTAGAGCAGAGGTACGCGATTAAATTCTGTGTGAAACTCGGTAAATCTGCGACAGAGACGTTTGATATGATCAAGCAGGCTTACCCAGGTGTTGCTTTAGCAAGAAGTGGTGTGTTTCGGTGGCAGCAGGCCTTTTTGGGGGGCCGGGAAGAGGTCGCTGATGAAGACCGTGCTGGAAGACCTTCGTGGATCTTTGAGTATGTTCCCGAGACAAAGAGGCAATCTTCCGAGTGGCACACGACGGCGTCTCCTCGCCCAAAAAAGGGAAAAATGAGCAAATCCAAAGTGAAAACAATGCTCATTGTCTGTTTTGACATCAAAGGCATCGTCTACCATGAATTTGTTCCTCCCGGACAAACCGTCAACGCCAAGTTTTACGTGGAAGTGCTCAGGAGACTCGAACGAAGGGTCAGTCGGGTCCGACAAGACATCGCAGCCGACTGGAAGTTGCACCACGACAACGCCCCGGCTCACACCGCCTTTCTTGTGAAAAGCTACCTGACCAAGGCCGGCATCCCAACGCTTCCGCAGCCGCCCTACAGCCCAGATGTGCCCCCCGGACTTTTTTTTGTTTCCTCGCCTGAAAAGCATTTTGAGACGACAGAGGGGATCCAAGCAGCATGCACCGCGGCTCTCAAGGCTATTCCGGAGAATGAATTCCGTGACGCCTTCAATGATTGGAAATCGCGCTGGCAGCGCTGCATCGACGCAGAAGGAGCCTATTTTCAAAGTTTTTAAAGAATTTTAACGATTGGCTCAATACATTTTTTTAAATCGACTCAGTCCTATTACTTTCCGGACAAACCCTGTATTTGTAAAATTAGAAAGTATTCATAGATTATGCTTATTGATAAAAATTACATTGAAAAGCACGAAAATAATGTTAATGAAATATCTACTACTTGCTCATCTTGCAGCATTCACTCCCTGGAGCTGATGTAAAATCTGTGTTTGAGGCAATTTAAGAAGTTATCACAAAAACGCCTATTTCTGGAAGATTATCCTTTTGGAAAACATGTTTAGTTATTGTTGATTATTTTGATTCGAACTGATCAATCAGCAAAGGGGTGGCTGATCACAAGCAAAAAAGCGGTCAAGAAAGGAGCTACATGGTTCTGAGAAAGTAATTCAATGATGAGCTTGGCAATGACCTTGAAAATGACCTACGAGATCATTAAGATGAAAATGAATATGAAACTGCTTAAGGATCAAGGCGTAAGAATGGGGTTTATCAACGTATCTGTGAAATAGCAATCAAGTATTTCAAAACATGTAAACTTTTACCAACATGTTTCTTTTTATTTTAGTTCTGGACATTTTATGATTTTGTCTTGTATTTTTGTGCGTTTTATTATAGATTTGAAGTAGAAAGCGTTGCAATCATGCGTTGTGTTTAGATATTTTAAATTTACGGCGTATTTTTTCACAATTTTTATTAATATTCACAATTTTAGATGTCAGTAGCAATATACATAGTCATGCCATAAGTTCTGTCCCTCGTTTTCAAACAAGTGTAGACCTGTTAATACTTGTCCGATTGTTTACATTGTGGTGTCAGTTGATTAAGCGCTTTTCGAGTAATTACATATACCTCAGTTTGTATTGATCTCTCGAAGCATAACGATGGAGTGGGGCAAGGCAGAGAACCGTATTGCAGTGATAGCTTTACATAAGTGTAATCACAGTGCTAGTCAGATTTTTGAACTCTTACGCGGTCTTCAAATATCGCGTAAATTTGTGTCTAGGACCATTCAGCGGTACAATGAGACGTCCTCTGTTGATGACAGGCCAAGAAGCGGAAGACCTCGTCAAGTAAGGACTCCAGCAGCCATCAAAGCCGTAAAAGCCAGGATTCAAAGGAATCCACTCCGGAAGCAGAAGATCCTATCCAGGGAAATGAAGATTCCTGTCCGGACGATGTCGCGCATCATTAAACAAGACCTAGGGCTAGGGGCTTACCGGAGACGTACGGGCCAGCGACTTACGGCCACCTTGCGACACATCAGGGCGACAAGATCCAAGAAGCTCTTGGAGAGGTACGCAGCTGGGGGATTCCGAAAGATTTTGTTCACGGATGAGAAAATCTTCACCATAGAAGAAAAATTCAACCGACAAAATGACAAAGTGTATGCAAGGAGTTCACAGGAAGCTTCGGAGATCATTCCGAGAGTTGAGAGAGGCCACCACCCTGCGTCAGTCATGGTTTGGTGGGGGGTGTCCTACGAAGGGGTCACTCAGCTCCATTTCTGTAAACAGGGCGTGAAAACAAAAGCGGCAAACTATCAGAGCGACATACTGGATCCTATCGTCAAGCCTTTAAGTGGTACATTGTTTGCCAACCAACACTGGGTCTACCAGCAGGATTCCGCCCCCGCTCACAAGGCTAAGAGTACGCAGCGCTGGCTGGAAAGCAATGTGCCAGAGTTCATTGCTGCGGAAGATTGGCCCTCAGGGAGTCCGGACCTCAATCCTTTAGACTACAAGTTGTGGGACCTGCTAGAGCAGTTGGCCTGCTCCAAAGCCCACCGTAATATCGAGTCCCTGAAAGCGGATTTGATCCGATCAGCGGCAGCTATTCCTTTGGAAGCTGTGCGTGCAGTGATAGATGAGTGGCCCGCGAGATTGAAGCAGTGTGTGAAGGCCAAGGGGGGACATTTTGAATAAAACTGTTTGATTATGAATTCTAAAAATGTTGTCGAATAAATAATATCTTTCATATAAATATATCTTATCTTGTTTCATTTTTATCATGAGATTATCATGGGACAGAACTTATGGCACGACTATGTACACTGCAACTAAAGATAATCAACTGGTATTTGTATCTCGCGCATATTCTGTACTGTACCAAAATGTTACTGAAGTCGGAATAAGTAGTCTACCGTGACAAAGTTGTTAGATGATGATGAAACATCTCCAAATTAACACAATGATAAAAAGTATTCTACCGACCTTTCTTCCCGTGCTCCGCAATCTCCTGCATCACAGCCTTCTCCAATTGAGGATCTTGACACAGCTCCTCGAACTCTTTGTTCACGATGCCCCTCCTCTCTGCTAGTTCTTTCAGTTGATGTTGGTTAGGCACAACGAGAGCCACGCAAAAATCTTTACTAGATTCGCCATACACGCAGATGTTATCTACCAGTGGGCAGGTCTTCAGTTGAGCTTCGACTTTGCCAAGGGAAACGTACTCGCCGGCTTGTAGTTTGACCAGGTCCTTCTTACGATCTGAAATAATGAAAACAGTTTAGAAGATTTTATATCAAATGAAATGAATTTGAATGCTAGGTAACGGTGTGCAGTAATCACAGATATTCAAGAAATGTGTGAAAAAAAAAGATTATTGAAACTATAATAACACAATTACCGCAGAATAGGTATCCCGGGAGTTACACTCAAGCAAGCACTAAAACCTTATTTTGAGCAAATCTGGAACAAATTATTTGTACTCACCGATGATTTTGATGACACCATCATGGTGCACCTCAATGATATCACCCGTCTTAAACCACCGCTTGCCTTCTTCATTGTAGAAGTCCTCGTTCGTTTTGTCAGGCAACTTGTAGTATCCGGCGCTGATGTTATCACCACCCAATATGCACTCTCCTCTTGGGTATGGTTTATCTGTCACCCTGTAGTTGCCTTCTTCCCAACTGACCACTTTGATGTCGCATATTGTGCATGGAGCACCTACGCGACCATAGTCCATGTCGTATTCTGAAAAGAAAAAGTGGCGTCAACCACGAGGCTTTGCACAAGTTAGCCACTCTGCGGAAAAGTTAGCTACGTGCAAAAAAAATTAATGGATCGCTTCAGTCGAATAGGCGCAGACAATGTGTCCCCTATTTGACAAAGTTGCAATCTAGACATTTCTCCCTAGCCCTACCGACAGTGCCGATCGCTTGGCAACGTTGCTACGACTAAACCTCGCCCACAGACATCTCGGGAGCCAGCCAGCGGCCACACCCCACAAAGGTATACCTCTGTACATTCGTGGCGTTTTGTGCGACGCGGCGTGGAGAATATTTGTCTCTCAACGTGGGTCGCGGACAGGTCACGCGATCAAGATTCAGTGTATTCCATGAAACCAACAATGGAGGAGCTTCTAATTGATTATTATGCTCTTTGGAGTTCAGACTTCAGTGAGAGTCACGAGGACAGCTTCACAGCTTTGTTGGGTCGAGAAGTGGATACTTGAAATTTGGGGGGATACAATTTGGCAGACGCTAAACTAAAAAATAAACACTCCGAAGAGCTTAAAGAATTTGCCACAAGTGTATAAAGGTTCAATCTGATTTCCTCCTGGAACAGGCAGATTACGATCTGCCTCGCTCTCGACTAGAGTGTGCGCGCCTGGAAATCAAACGTCATTGATACCGAGCATGCGCGGTCGTAGACTTGCATCTCTCACGATGACGTCAGAAGCGAACTCACGACACCTCGTTGAGGCGGGGAGAATCCTACGAACGCGAGGGTCACGCTAGTGTCCCACGCCTCGTGAGAGCGGGGCCCAAGATACGTGAAATATGTCTAACAGGTGGGTAGAATTACAAAAAAAGATATATACCCTTCAGTCAGAAATGAAATAGAAATACATTAACACAAATTAAACATTTAAAGAGCGCGTTATATACTCAGTGACTTTAGAAGTGTTACACCCAGAAAACATAATTTCTTCAACTTGATTTTTTGGCAATGAAGTAGTCTTACAAGAATGAAACGATAACATTCGCACGGAATTTTATTGACAAGTAATAAGAAAAAAATTAATAATGTGTTAGGCGACCCCGTAGCTGAATACACTCCTTTATACGTTAAACAAAAACAAAGATAATACGTTGAGACTGTTGGATGTGATGTGTAGTTAGTTATCATTCTCGTCGTATGAGATGTGATATATCGGGTGATTTTTTAAGAGGTATAGGATTTGATTTTCAAAAAAACACAAAAATTTGAAAAAATCATTAAATCTTTATTTGAGGATAGAACGGTCGATATAATTTAATGTTTAACGATTATTTCATGTAAATGTTGGCCGCGGCTCCGCTTTAGATGGCTCATGCGCAAGGTCCAATTTTGGCACACTCTCTCCAACATATCGGCCGGTATCTCACGAATAAATGCTTCAATATTGGCTTCCAGTGCGTCAATCGTTGCTGGTCTATCCCTGTAGACATTAGCCTTAACATGGCCCCACAAGAAGTAGTCCAACGGCGTTAAATCACAGGATCTAGGCGGCCAATTGACGGGCCCCAAACGTGAGATAAACTGTTCACCGAACTCGCCTCTCAATAGGGCCATTGTTTGGTGTGCGGTGTGGCATGTGGCACCGTCTTGTTGAAACCACATGTCAGCCAAGTCCAGCTCTTCCATTTTGGGCAAAAAAAAGTTTGTTATCATCGCACGGTAGCGCTCGCCATTCACAGTTACGTTCCGGCCATTGTCGTCTTTGAAGAAGTACCGGCCCATAATCCACACCAAACAGTGATTTTTTCGGGATGCATGGTAGCTCTTGCAATGCTTCTGGCTGGTCTTTACTCCAGATGCGGCAATTTTGCTTGTTAACGTACCCATTCAACCAGAAATGAGCTTCGTCGCTGAACACAATTTTTCGATAAAAATGTGTATCTTCCTCCAACTTTGCAGGCGCCCAATCACCAAATTGGAAACGTTGTGGGAGGTCATGTGGCACCAGCTGTATCTTATAAGGTTTTACACCCAAATCCTGTCGCAAAATTGTCCACGTACTAGAGTAACAGAGGCCCAATTGCTGCGAACGGCGGCGAATCGACATTTCACAGTCATCACTAACACTGGCGGATACAGCCGCAATATTTTCTTCAGTCCTCACTCTACGTCTGCGTGTTGGTGGTTTAATGTCCAATAATGTAAACTGGGTTCGAAATTTAGTCACAAGCTTCCGAATAGCTCCCTCAGTAGGCCGACCAAATTGCCCATAAATTGGAAGCAGTGCTCGATGCACTCTCTTAACCGAGCATGAATTTTGATAGTAAAATTCAATAATTTTCAAGCGTTGTTCGTTCGTAAGTCGATTCATGGTTAAATTATAGACCAAACTGAACAAGTTTGACAATGACACAAGACACGATTCACGTGTCATCTGTCAAAAACAGTGTTGCCAAAAAGATACTAGCAAAAAAATCACCCATTATAATTTCATCAAAAAACTCACCATCCTGCACACAGGCAGAGCTAGTAGACTCTGTCAGACCGTAGCCTTGGATAATTGTGACACACAAACAAGTGCTGATCTGTTCATGCGTTTCTGGGGATAGCGGAGCACCTCCAGATATCATTAACCTCATGTTGCCTCCCATTATTTTAGCTACTGGAGCAAATATTATCCTGTAATCACAAACAAAATTAGATAATGACCATAGACAATATTAAATAGTCGCTTTGGTTATGTCATATTTTGCCTTGTAAAAAATGAAATGCTAAGTTATCCATTATGAAACTGAACAAATTTTATTAGATAGTGATTCTCCAAATATCGATAAAATTGCAATTCCCGTTACTATCAAAATCCGAATTAGAATCTCCAATAATGTGTTAAAGTAATTCTGCGACTTCTAAAGGGCCTCGAAATTTTTGTAAAAGTACCAATAAACCTCATGTAGAATAGTGAACATTAAAATAAGATTGGTTAAATTTGACCAAACTCCGATGTTTTTTTATTCAGTTTATCATTGTTACAACTTTATTTGAAATGACACAAACATTCTTGTGGGTTTATTGTGCTGATATGCGTCACGGCATTGTTCATAACACTGTTATTGTAAGACTATTGATATATCATCTATTACTAAGAAACAACAAAGCAACGATAATAAAGAATTGCTTACCTATCAATTATTGGAGTAGAATACCCTCGTTTCGTCCACGAGGTTTTGTAATCGTAAGCGAACTTGAAGAGGATTTTCTTAATATCACTGCTTTTGCTCACTTTTTCTTGAATTGTTTTCGAAATCCTATCCAAAATCAGCTGGAGGGTAAAATATTTTTTTAATAATCTATTAAAACCTATTGAGGACCGCAACTATTTTTTTATAAAAAAAGGAAAAACCCAAATCAGGAGGAACCGCTCCTCCAAATGCAAAATTCGTATTATTAGTTTCAGCAATCGCAACTTGATTATCGTCCAGTTAAACTTAGAGTTAACTTCTGATTCGCCACGAGCGTAGTTATACGAATTTTGCATTTGGTAGCAACAGTCACTGTCGAGGTTAGTTGTTTTTTTGCGCGATAAGGATACCGGTACCGTTTACAGTATGTTTTGGCCACATAAGCAAAATAAATAGTTATAAAACTATCCTATTATCTAATACCGATATGTAACTGACTGGTATGTATTTTATGGAAACTCAGAAATTATGTACGAAAAATAGTATCACACAAATGTCCGCCTCTAGAAGCCGCGCAAATCTGAGCCCTCTTGATTACATTTTCCATCACTTTTTGGTAGGTTTGCGGGAGGAATATTTTCAATCGCTTCCGTAATATTGTTCTTGAAAGTTTTGCACCATATCACGGTAGCGCTCGCCAGTGACAGTAAGAGAATTACCTGCAGCGTCTTCAAAGGAGTAAGGTGGAATGACACCTCCATACCAAACACCGCACCAAACTGACTCGGCGAGGATGTAGTGGTTGGTCATTGATGGATGACACGAGGGTTTTCTAATGCCCCGATACGACAATTCTGCTTATTAACAAATCCGTTCATATAGAAGTGGGCTTCATGGCTCCTCATCAGTTATCGGTAAAAATCGTTATTTTGGGTATTAAGCTGCAATATCGCATGACTGTATTTCTTGGGTTAACTGAATATTGTATGGCCGCAAATGCAAGTCTTTTTTTTAAATAGTGCATGATGACGTGCGACGAACACCCAGTTCTTGCGAACGATGTCTCGTAGACGTCTCAGGGCGCTTCACTACTCTTTCACGAACTCTCTCGATATTTTCCAGAGTATGAAGACTTGAACACGGCTCGACCTTGGCTGAGCGAGGGCCGTGGCAAATGCTTGTTCCGGAAGTCGTTGTATCCAGTATACAACTTTTTCCCGTCCAAGTGATTGCGCACGCGTTAAGGAATACCTCAGTACCGATTGCCGGGTGGCGGTACAAGTCCGCCAACGGGCCACTTTAGGTCTATTTAACATCACTAATACGTAAAAAGAAGGTGGTAGACAAGGACCAGTCGACCGAGGCAGTACCACCCGCTGGCTTTTCCCAGGGTGTCTTATAAATGTCCGCATGTTTCCACACCTAAGCTATGCAGTCGGTTATCTACCAAAACAAAGAAATTAATGATGATGGATCCCTCGAGCACTAAAAACTCCGGACGTAAACTCACTCCACTCTCGGAATGTCCGGGTGGAGGGTGGGCTCGAGGGAACAACATCGAAGATAAAATTTGTTTTTCGAACATCTGCGGGATCAACAGCAACATTGATGCTGTTCATCACTACCTGCAATCCAATCGTCCCGCCGTGCTTTTCTTGGCGGAGACAAAAATCTCAGAGGCTGCACCGATTAACCATCTCAACTTCCCAAACTACGAGGTGCACTCCAATCTGAGAAAGAACGGGGGAGTTGTGGCTTTTGTCCGCAGCAGTCTTTCCTGCTCCAGGGATCTTTCTTTGGAATCAGACCGGAAGGACATTCTGTGGCTTCGCCTCAACTCCAAAACATCACCCAAATTTATTTGCTGCCTTTATCGCTCTCCATCGAACCATAACTGGGATGACCTACTCGAATACCTCGCCGTCCAGATCGACTTCCTGAACATCAATCACCCCGCTTCAGAGATAGTTCTTCTCGGTGATTTCAATGCCCATAATGAGCTTTGGTTGGGCTCAAACAAGACCGATGCAGCAGGTCGTGCAGTCGAAGCGTTCGCTCTTACTCAAGGGCTGACCCAGCTGGTGACGAGCCCTACTTTTTTCCCCCGCGTCTCGTCACACGCCAGTAGCCTGCTAGATCTCTTTCTGACCACGCATCCTGCCCCTTACAGCACTGCCGTCCTGTCCCCCCTGGGTAACTCAGATCACGGTGTTGTGGAGGTTAGGTTTCGGTCAGAAGCCGCTGTGGCCGCAGAAACTCGCACAGGCCGCAAAACTTGGCATTACGGACATGCCGACTGGGAGGGGCTCAGAGACTTCTTCTCTAGCTTTCCTTGGAGAGATGTCTGTTTCACTGACGCGGATGCGTCGACTGTCTGTTCTTCAATAACCGAAATTATCCACGTCGGAATGGAGGAATACATCCCTCACACAGTGAAAGTTCCTAAACCAGGGTCCAACGGCTGGTTCAACAAATCGTGTGACACTGCTCGCCAGCAGAAGATCAAGGCCCGCAGAACCTACTTACAAAACCCCACTGTAGAGAACAGACAAGCCGACGTCGAGTCCAGAAACAAATATAACGAAGCGGTTCGCAATGCCAAAACCCAGCATGATATAAAAGTTAGGCACAGGGTAATGTCGCAGCGCAATGGCAGTCGGTCTTTCTGGACGCTGGCCAAGCAGATTGAAAAGAACTTCTCACACAGTAGCCTTCCACCACTTACGTGTCAGGATGGAACTATTGTATTCGACTCAAAGGCCAAGGCAGAAGTGCTAGCCAAGATCTTTGCTGCCAACTCCACCATGGACGTCCCCACCAACGCCCAAGTGCCGTCAATTCAAAGGGTTCCCCACACTATGCGGGAGGTAACATTCAGGCATAAGACCGTAAGACGAGTGCTCTTGTCGCTCGACATCAACAAAGCTTCTGGTCCGGACTTGATTCCTGCCATTGTACTGAAGAGATGTGCAGCTGAGCTTGCTCCAGTTCTTTCGCGTCTCTTCCAGATATCTTATGAATCCGGCACCTTCCCAGAAAACTGGAAATTTGCTCATGTACAGCCCATCCCAAAAAAAGGATCTAAAACCGACCCTTACAACTACAGGCCTATAGCTCTGCTTTCTGTTATAAGTAAAGTGATGGAGAGGTGCATAAATCGCGAGCTTCTGGACTACCTCGAACGTCACAGCTTGATTAGCGACAGGCAGTACGGTTTCCGGCACCAACGATCCACAGGGGACCTCCTAGCTTACGTCACGCAACTGTGGAGTAAACTCATCCAGTCTCATGGTGAGGCTCATGTCGTTGCTCTTGACATCACGAAAGCGTTCGATCAGCTGTGGCACGCTGCCCTCTTAAGCAAACTTCCATCCTACGGCCTCCCAGAAAAGCTTTGCAGATGGGTGGCTGACTTTATCTCTGGCCGCAAGATATCCGTCGTAATTGACGGATTCTCCTCTTCATCCCACAACGTCAACGCGGGTGTTCCCCAGGGATCGGTCTTGGCTCCAACACTGTTTCTCTTACATATCAACGACCTCCTTTCCTGCACGATCAACCCAATCCACAGCTTCGCTGATGACAGCACTCTACATGCAGGAATTCAGAGTGACAAGCCGATCTCTGCCGCTGAGCTGGAAAAAAGAAGACTAGCGACGACTTCTTCTCTGACAAGAGACCTGGAGGCTATCACTGCGTGGGGACGCAACAATCTTGTACAGTTCAATGCTTCCAAAACACAGTACTGTACCTTGACGAACAAAAAGCGTCCTAGCGCTCATACAGTTTCGATGGACGGTCGAGTTCTACCAAAGAGCCACTCATTTCGGCTGGTCGGAGTCCAGATCACCGAGGACCTGATCTGGCACGAACACATCTCTTCAATAGCTGCAGCTGCTGGGAAAAAGCTGGGCTATTTGTTTAGGGCTAAGAAGTACTTTTCTCCGCATGACCTTCTCACTCTATACAAGGCCCAGATAAGGCCTAGCCTCGAGTATTGCTCACACATTTGGGGTGCTGCCGCCCCGACTACATTGTCCATGCTCGATGCTGTCCAGAGGAGGGCGGTCCGACTGATCGATGACTCTTCTCTAACAGACAGTCTCGGGACTCTTTCGCACCGGCGGGCCGTCGGCGATCTAGCTCTTTTCTATCGCTACACCAACGGGCTTTGCTCCTCAGAGCTCTCTTCCATGATGCCGCCGCGCGATGCGCCTGCCAGACAGACCCGCCTGACTTCGGCATCCCATCCTAACCGTGTCAAACTTCGTACATCCAGAACTGGCCGATACGACCGCTCCTTTGTCCCGAGGGTGTCTAGATTGTGGAACAATCTACGGGAGGAAGCTTTTCCCAGTTCTACTAACCTTAGGCAGTTCAAAAATCGTATTAACAAAATTTCTTTGGGATCATCATAGCAGCCGCGGTGTTCCGGCATTTAGGCTTCTGCCTGCGCGGCTGTTTCGATATAAAAAAAAAAAAAAAAAAAAAAAAAAAAAAAATCTTTAACTGCACCTGTTTCTTCAAATTTCCGCAAAACTGACGAATGGTGTTGACAGTGGGCACCTTGTTTCGACCGAAATCTTGTCGTAGCTTCCAAATCGTTGCAACAATCGACTCATTATTTAAGCAAAACGTTTCAACAATACGGACGCGTTGTGGGATCCTGTAGCGCTCCATGATGAGTTGGACACATGTGCTTTAAACAACTACTACGGTGCTACCTACTTAAATGCGTGTATCTAAAATGGCGCGCATTTATATATTGTGTTAACTGAAAATAATACTTACGGGTACAGCCGTCAACACAGTCGGCCTCAAAACGGTCGCATCGCCCTTGGACCCCTTCTTGATCTTGCTAGACGAATCGATCATCGTAAGAGCCCCAGAGTATCCGATGGGTACTCCGGCCAATAAACACACGCTCTCCACCAGCAACTCAAACACGTGAGCCAATGGGAGGAAGCCAATCATCACATCATTGGCGTAGATACTTGTCGAGTCGCAGAATCCTTTGAGCGTGGCGATGAGATTTTTCTGGAGCAGGATTACTCCTTTGGGGACGCCAGTGGAACCACTAGTGTACATGATGATGGCTACGTCATCTCCTTTTGGAGGTAGGGCCACTGGAAAGTACGATTTACAGCTACAGTTTCCTACGAAGTGAATATAATGCGTTGAGTATATTGGGTTTAAAAATGTGATTGCCCTTATGATTCAAATATAATTACAGCTGCAAATGGATGAGCGAAAATAAAATAATTTTAATAATAATGTTTAATGATAGTTATTTTGATGGCTGTCTCCGGTGCGTAATAAGTCTCTATTACTGCTGTTTCCCGAAAGCAACGGTTTTGAGAAAGTTAGACTGGCTTCAATTCCTGCCAGTCATAGCTTCTGGTTCCACGATACTAAACTGGTGGGCAGTTGCTTTGCAACATGGAAAGAAGTTTTACCTAAATTCAAATCTGGGTATTTTCGGAACGGAAAGAGTTATCGAATTGCGGTATTCGGGAGATTCTTGACCAACTCTTTGAGGTAGAGTGGAAAAACGTATCCCGAGAATTTATTAATAGCCTTCTGGAAAGTATGCTACGAAAATGCCAGGCTGTGATCGATATGCGGGGTGGCCTTACAAAGTACTAACAATATTGTTTAAAATAACTGTTGCTGCTTTGGAAAAAGTTCGTTTTTGTCATATGTTAAATAAATAATTTAGGTATTTAACTGGTCTTCAAATTTTTGTTTTCTTAAATGTTATATATTGTTAATGTTAATCAATAAGTTCATTGATGTTGTTTAACGATTTAATAGAGTCTATTACCTATTGGAAAACATCTCCGATGAAGACGCGTACGTCAATGCTTGATGAGAAAGATAAAACATTCCAGATAAAAGATGGGTAGCAGTGTTGGTCAGCATCATAGCATTTTGAAAAATAAATCTTTTTGAGTTATTACCACTTCTTACCAAACCAAAAAATACTTTTGGTGTTGCGCCACTGGAATAGACCGTATTTTAAGAGTAGCAACTTGGATTTGTTGATTTATAAATTCGGGTTAAATTACGAAATGTCAAAGTAGCAAACTTTTACTGCACGCCACTGGAGGCAATAGCGTTCAATGAGTGCTTCAATCTTTTCTCGAGCGCAAGAAACTCCACTTTATGTAACAATATGAGAAAAAATACTCATTCTCAAGAGAACTCCCAAAAAAGTCCCTTAACACTTTTTTTAATTTGGCTAATTTGAGTTACATCCAACTTTCGAGTAATTTGAGTAATTACTTTTTTTAGGATAGTCCAATGATCAAAAAGGTGTACAGAAAAATTTTCAAGATCAAAAATTGAGAATCCAACATAGCTTCAAACTTTGCTCAAAAAACCCGGCTTCCTTTGCTCACCCTGTATAAGTGGATAAATAATAAAGCAACATACCAGACCAACCGCGTGTTCTCAAAGAGTTGATCAAGAATCTGCCGAATACCGCTGGATATCTTTTTCGGTTCCGAAAATATCGAGATATGAATTTGGGTAAAATTTACCATGTTACAAAGCAACTGTAAACCAGTTTAGATCCAGTCTCTAATAATACAGGAAGCTTTTTGTCATATTATAACATATTCATATAATCATAACACAGAGATGATGTTTGAACGTGTTATGGCTGGTCAAAAGTAGTTTCTGGTTACAACTAACCATCTCTATGTCAACGAAGAGCTCAGACCCCTGGCCTTTCAAAGATGTCTGGAGACCCACACCTGTGGATTATGGACCCAAATAGCTCTAATTCTATTTTGTGGCTATTTAAGAGTCCGGTTCACAATCCAAAGTCTTAGGCCTTGCAGTGGCAAGAGTTTCCGCCATTTTATAACCAAGTATTGCCACGTGCCCACAGGTCCAGAGCTTCTCGATACTCCAGGCTTACACCTCACATTTTTTGTGATTGAATTGGCATTTACCACATAAAGAAATATAGATACATTGAAACCAATATGTGTTGACTATAGCAAAATACTGGTGCAAGTACGGAGTTCCTAGAAAGTATTGGTTAAAGTGTATAACTTACCAATTTTTGACTCTGCTCCCTTCTTGAGAACATCACCAAATTTCAATATTTCTATACCCTCCTTATATCCATCAGTGTTTTCCAATTTTTTCAGTTGATCTTCCATATAGATAAGTGTCTTCACCATTGGTGTAAGTGCTAGAATTTTCTTGAATTTCGGAAGTAGATCGAAACTTGTTATAACAGTTGTAACCTGAAACGTAAACTTAAGTAAAAAAGATATCCGTAATGCAGTCTGTATAAACTTTATAGAAAAAGGAGTAAAATTTAAAATGATGCATTGAGGTGGCAGTATGTTAGGGTTATTAGGGGTTGTAACAAAATTCCTAAAGATGACGTATTCACGTGAAGTTTTATCGTGTCACTTTGGTGTTGGATATAAATTTGGTACCATATCTAATATGCAGGAGACTTTATAACCGTAACTCAAGCACATGTGTTCTGAAAATAAGACAAATTACCTCAGTTTCATTGATTCCATGAGCTATAGCCTCATCTCCAAGTGTCGCGTAGATGGTAACCAGAGGTATATTTTGTTTGAAAATTCCGTGTGCTGCTATCATCCATTCTGCCCTGGTTTCAGCAAATATAACGATGTTCTGACCTGGCGGATTTCCTAGTTCTCGCAAACCTTTTCCGAAGTTCGTGGCTAAGATGTTGACTTCAGAGAAGGTTTTCCAACGGTAGTCTCCCATATCGTACTGTAAATAGAACATAAAAAGGTTAGATATAAATAAATTTCTGAAAAACTGCAAATTGTCTGAATCAATTGATTGGAAGAAATGAAAAAAAAATAGATTGATACGAGCAGTTGGATTTTTATGTACTGCAAACAATAATACTTTATTTTCAAACGCTATCAAGTCTGTAGACTGTTTCAAAATGTACTCCTACAACTCGGCAATAATTCTAAACTTTTCTCAAGTTGGGATGAGGAATCAAGAACACTTATTTCATACGAGGTCTGTAAATTACGTAATGAGATCGGCACGATAGCGTTCGGTAGTTTGGTGGAGAGATAGGGGAACATGGGTCATGTGATCTGCCTTCAGTACAAGGTACAAGTTTGAAATCGCTCGAGTCATTTGGTTGTCCGTAATCAGATCATATTTACTATGGAGTTCGGAAGCCTATTTCTATATACTACAAACATGTTTGTTGTATACTTAAAATTGATTCATACCTTCTTGAACACCCTACCGTTCGGCTGGACCTCATCCTCCTCGGCCAAGATCTCTCTGGTACCCAAACACCTCTTGTTCGGATACTTCTTACTGACGTAGTCCAGCATCTTGGCCATAGTGTCGATTTTTTCACGCACAAGGGCTATGTGGAGTTCTTTGGGCTGACTGCTCGACCTGTACGTGATGGATTTGCAGTCTTGTTGGATCGGACGGGCCTGGATTGAAAAACAACTACTCGTTAATACATCGATTTGGGCAAAATATTTAACAAATCGTTTGAAAAGAACGCTGAAAGTCAGGATGTTATTTTGATCTAAAAACTGCCCTAAGGTTTCTAGGCTTAGGTCTATATTATGTTTCTCGTTCAGTCGCTCGGAGACCTGGAATCTGATGTGCTATTGGATAGCTGGACACTATTAGGGAATTATGAGTACGTGAAAATCGACACATCTATGAATCTAGGCCATGCATGTACCAACAATAATTCAGATAGAAGTTAAAGCGATGCAGGTCTGTAAAAAAGCGTATAACGACGCCAATTGTTAAACATGCGATTGCTATCTGTCCCAATAGTCATCAAGACATCTAATACCGCGCAGATATCGACCAAGCTGAATTATGTTAACACGATCAAGGAACTGATAAACCAAACTCACTGAGAGTGTAAGGTGATAAATGGCACTAAGGGAATGAGAAGGCAGATTATGAAGCGTCATAAAGCATTTGATAAAGAAAATTCCCACAGAAACGGTAGAATGACATTTCTGGGCAGAGGCGGCACAGGGCCAGCAAAACACTATATTCTAAAATAGCATATACAAGGTGACCAATTTTCAAACGGTGTTTCCCCAGGTCATTTTACGAAGAAAAGTTTAAATAAATGTAAGTCCGGTAATGAATCATTCTCAAACTATTTTTAATTCGATTTCTCTTACAACCCTTGTGTCTGTTTTTTTAAATTATGAGGAAATTCAGGTACAGACGAAACGATGGAAAGTCAACTAAAATATATCAAGAAAAAATGCTTTATTAAAACCATGGCCATATGGATCGTCGGATTTAAATCCGGATTTTTTTCATTGTGTATTATTGTTTTTCTTATTCGACCCAATTTAGATTTTCAACGTAACATCTGTGCATGCTAAAATTCAACAAAACCAGCTGCAGAATTATTGAGATTTTATGAAATTCAATATTTAACTCCTTGTATCTTGAATACGAAACAACATCGGCCCAAGTATTTATAAACTTTTCGTATTAGAATCACGTTGACTTTTGGCTATATAGTTTATTAACACGCATGAAAGAGCAGTGCGAAACCTGGCAAGGTGTTTGATATCATTAAACCAACAGCGAAATAATATGTTGCACACCAAGGAAATAAAATGGCAAATCTTCCAACAGATTTTTACCAAACAGAATCTCCAGAAAATCATCGAGATAAAATAGACCCAATAAAGCAATTTACTAATAATAGTACTAATTGTCATAGGCGTATTGAGGCTGAATCACCACTCACATTATTTCGTGTCATTAATTTATTCTCGACATTGACAAATTTAGACCTTGAAAGTGAATCGAGAAAATTCTGTTTTTGCGAGCTCCTTGAAGTCACTGAACTATGGACATGTTTTAGATAATCCTTAGACAATTCAAGTATTACGTAAGCACTGAAGGGACGCTTTGCGTATTTTTAAAGACCTGGGCGATGGGGGGGTCTGGATGGTGATTACGTAAGGAATGTTTATTTTTTGCTTCTTCGGATTTTCTACAAAACGCGGCTTCAGAGATTCCTCAAATATTGATACGCTTATTCTACTATTTTGGGCCTCATTTGGATGAACGTGGCGTTACAATTAATGAATATCTAGAAAGATACAATGATGAGTTTGCCGGAAATGTATTAGCAGTGGAATGGAGTTTAATGGAAATTGATAGTTTTCATGTTACTGCACAGTATGTTGGGTTAGGTGAGCCAGATCTTCCTGATTTTCCAGACATTAAATGGTATTTTCAGAACACTTCATGTGCGTGAAAGTCAATACTTGCTAGAAATTGTAAAATGTATCAAAATGGAGGAAAGGGAGTTAATAATTGTAAAAATCTGTTTACGTAATACTTGAACGGCCTTATAAACAAAAAGTACAATCAAACATCCAAATCAAATATAATGTATCATTTAGTAAGAGTCAAACTGCTGGCCTTGGAAAGACTTGTATTATTGGTCTAATTAGAAAGATGTAAATGGTTATTCCACTTATACAGTCATGTATATTACAAATTCTATATCTATTGATCGTAAGCAAATGAACCAAGTTATTTATTTTTAATTGTTCTTTTAAATATCCAATTAACTGATATGCAGTCAGTCTTTTTTGTGAACTACTACCAGTGACGGGGTCACAATGGTTATCATGCTTTAGAATTTCCCAGGACATTAGACAGCCGCAAAGCAAGTGCTTAAATACATCATCTTACTGTTCACATTCGTTTTCACAAGGATGTATCTCACATTATAGCGAAACATTGATCCGATCCACATTTTGGCTTATGACAGCAGAGTGAAGAAGACTAGTAAAGCGAATCGCATAGCAACCATTTTGTGTGTGAAGACTACATAGTCGAGTTTGCAAACACACAAGGCCGCGGCTCGCACTGTGGACAGAATAAAATCGTGCCACTTTATTTTCAGCGAAAATTATTTTTCTTTAACGACCGATCTCTAATTTGCCAAGGCACACCTAAAAATGACGCTCTTTTTTCTCTTTGCTCTCCATCCTTCCTTTCTTCTTCCCTCCTTTCTACATCACTTTGTCAGACCTGACAGACCTAGTGAGATATTTCATATCTTAACCAATACAGGGGATCTAGAAATGATCACTGCTTGGTGACGCAAGATTCTAGTACAGTATGATGTTTCCAAAACACAAACGGTACTTGTCTGACAAGAAGCTACCTAATGAACATACTGTAACGCCCTCGTATAGATAGTACCTTGGGTGGCCGTGGAGTGAGCCCTCGATGTCGACGCTTAGGCAACCAGTTATACTACAGTGCGTAAGCGGTTGCGGCGCCATCTACCAGCTTCAAGGAGGAATCGAGTTCAACAACAAGGCCAGTACGGGCCGGTATTCATCAGGGTTCGGTCCTAGGACCAATCCTTTATTCGCTTTTTATCCATGGTGTCCCTTGCCAGAGCACCTGTGAAGTCTACCTCTATGTTGACGATACTGCACTTGTCGCCCAGTCGTGTACTGGTGATCTGGTTCACGATGGGTTGCAAAGCGCGGTGGAAGAAGTACTGGAGTGGGCGGTACGGTGGCTGATTAAAATTAATCATTCGAAAACGTAGGGTATTTATTGTACCAAAAAACGTCGCGGCCCCCCAGCAGAGGTCTCTTTAGGCGGCAATCGTGTACCATGGACAAATTCTGCCAAGTCCCTCGGTGTCGCCATTGATAAAGGCATGACCTGGCAGAAACATACAGCAGCCTTGAAAACAAATTGCGTTTCGGCAACTATATCCTTTGTTATGTAGATCCTCCAAATTGTGTTTGAAGCAAAGTTCGCCTATATAAAATGATATACCAGCCATTACTTATGCATGTGTGGCTTGGTGTTTTCTTGCCAAGACACATATGCAAAGTCTTCAAGTACTGCAAAGTAGAACGTTGCGAAAAATTTGCCACGCTCCATGGTATGTCTCAAACGAGACACTACACAGAGACCTTGACATTCCTTACTTGAGGGATTATGTCAAACTTCAGGCGCAGCGTCGTTATAGTCAAGCGGAATCGCACAGCGACCCTATGTTGCGCGACTCAGTGGACTACACAGTGGAGCAAGTTCGTAAACTTTTAGTAAACTTCAAATTACACTCTAAGAAAGTCGAATCAAAATTTGTTTAGTTCACCTCAAAATTAATCAGTGTACCAAGTCAAAAAGCCTAGGTGTCTCCTCTTAAACTAAACACTTCTGTTATTCTTTGGTCTTCCACATTTTTCTTATTTTTCCCTTTCTCTTTTTTCATTGACATTGTCTGGTTTCTGGGCAACGAGTACTGACAGATTCGACTAACGTACATTAGACAGTGACTAATGGGCAAAGGACCTACGGACCGCCCAGAAAAACAAATGACGTAGAGTAGTAGAGGAATCGAGTTTTTGCTAGATAATGCTGGAATGCATCGGGAACCGTTGATTTATCACATAAATATCCGACCAGATGGCGGAAGTAGTCAGTCTCAGTCGAGGATTCTCAGAATTCGCCTCTGTGATGCCTCCATTCGTTGAGCCTGCTAGATAAACCCGTCAGGCGCCAGAACTTCGTACTTCCAGGACTGCGGAGCTTTTTCCTAGTTCTATAATACAATATAGTAAAGCTTTCGTTTTGAGATTACACCACTAGTGAGTCTGCTATCACTGCAGATCCTTTCGCGTAGATGGATTTATGTTCTGATTTCGAAGAATGATCGATATCAATAGTGAAACATGTCAAAATAATAACACCATACAACAACAAAGGTGAAGATAACCTAGTTCCTTGAGGTAACATCACCAATTCAATAATCGTGTATTCTTATCAATAGCCTATATCAAAACCACAGTTTGCATACAAAATAGTTTATAATAAGAACACGCTTCCCGAATATGGATAAAAATAGAGACGGGTAATAAGTATGGAACAAGGCTCTGAAGCGAAAAATATTAACCCAAGAAAGTTAAATATGGTATGATGACATTCAAAATAGGTCCTTATTTGAAGAAAAAATAAGAGCGGGACAATCCCTCATGGTCTTGAGGTCTTCATATCCCTTATCTAAAAGATTACATTAAACAACAGATGCAGCGACCAGCGACACAAGCGGAATCACATAAAAATCCTTTGTTGAGGGAATCAGTGGGCTACAGAATCGAGCAAATTTGCAAACACTGTGAACAAAATTAAATCGGGCACTTAGAACAATCAAAGTTAAAAATATATCGCTCCAAAACAAAATATTGACCCTGGCTGGGCTAAAAATAGTATTTCATTCAATTATGTTTTATATTTGAGGAAAAAATCCCCATTAACAAACAAACACGATATTAGACCAGAAACCTTGAGAAAAACAAAACTTGACACCTGTTAATAAATTCGTAATTTTTATTAGTTACACCTGTATCAAAAGAATATTAAAATTTGCTACACATGTTATTGGAAGCGAAGCATGAGTCATCCAAAATTTCTTGATTATCAAATTACCACTTTTTGCATTCATTAACAGCGCAATACAAGAGGGTTCAATTAACTAGCAATTAGCAATAAGTGATTAAGTACATGCATCAGCCAAAGGGAATGTTTCCCTCTTTTCCAGTTGTACACAACCACGCCAAAAGGCAAATGAATTTTTTTTAATGCAATTTTTTGTGGTGCGCATTCTTATCTTATATTAAAACATTCACAGTCTTCCTATTACGAATATAGGTATATCTACGAATTATGAACCTCTCGAACCCCTTGCCTCATAAAAAATGTCTTCCAAGATCAAAATTTGTTGAATTGATAATGAATCCTACAAAAATGTGTTTCATACCCACTACTTTTAATATATTTATTTTTTAAAGATACTCAACTCTGCATACAAATGACGATCGTATTCAAAAACTAAAAAAAAAATCACCGATAAATGCGCTTCTTCAAAACGGGTAAAACCAGCAAAATGTGACAAACAAGCCAAATTCAAGCAGTATCACCTATCGTAAAGCAATTGCCATGCATTCAATTTGTCACAAAAACATGTTCGCTACAATCTGTTATGAACAAAAAGTAGCTAAAATTCTAGGATGTCAATCTAAAATGATGTATTATCAGCTACCAAGTCAACTCAGCATCCAAAAAACTGAAATAACATACAGGGAAAACCAAATTTGTCTGACGGCTTGAGTTCAAGGTGTATGAGAGAGAAGGGCGAGAAGTGTATATCAACACATGCTAGAACGAGAAAAGAGCTAGCTGAAGAGCGAAGGTCACCACCACATCGCCTAGCGATGGTGACGCGGATGCCAATATGTTACACCAGAAAATGTTCACATAGGTTTCTACAATGGGTTAGGTCACTGTCAAACCCAAGAAGGAGGCCTCTTCGAACATTTCATTTAAAACCTTGTTTTCATTTTAATTACAATTATTTGCTTCAATTTTGGTGCGACTTAGTCTTGGTGATAAGATCAATACATCCTGAGGTATTGTTACATTTTGCGACAGCGCTAGATGGGTACTGACCAAAATCGCTAATCTATGATCATGGAGGTGGACCGTGCCTTGGAATGCGGTGTTGCAAAGCGAACCAATAATGCAACGTTGCAGAATTTGTGGCGATCCTGACCTTTCATTTCGGTCTAAAATGAAGCTCCATTAGAACCGATCCTAAACAGATTCGACACAACTCACAATTCAAAAATATATACTCTCAAAATAAATCCACTATTTGGGCGTAGAGAATACATTAACGCATATTTTCAACATGCTCCTTAATTCAATAAATTGGTGTAACATATTGGCAAAGCGGTGATGAGCTTCGCTGTCCAGCCGGCTTCTATCTCATCCTAAGATATGAGTCTATACACCCTTCTCTCTCGTACACATTGAACTCAAGCCGTCAGACAAATTTGGTTCTCAGTGTATGTTGTAATATTCTTGCATGCGAGGTAATATTCTTCAAAATATTTTTCCTAGTTGTTATTAAGAAACTCACTCATAAAAAAAGCTGAAAGGACACACATGGATTTCATACGATTGTATAATATTGAATAAATGAAACAATTAGAAAATTTTGTTACGTATGAAGGGTGTAGTTGTGACCCAAAATCTTAATTGATCGGTTGTTTCAAGTGGTTTTATAAATCGGTTTTAGATGCATTAGAAAATGCACATCATTCTGCAAAAAAATAATGTTCTGATGGCCGACAAATAACACCACAGACCGTCAGTAAAGTTTCAGTTGAGTTCAACATGATTTGCAGAAAATGGAGATTGATTGGCGATACAACCATGAGATAAATTTCAGATTATCGTCTAATCTTTTGAATAAGTTAAAGTTAAAAATAGTGCCTCAAATATAGCGTATTGAAAATGAGTAAAATCGCACACTTATTTAAATAATTCTATAAGAAACATTAGTATTTTTGATTTGATACAATGTTTTTTTTATTAAATATGATAAATCATCACGAATCCAAGATTATAAATAATATACCAAAAATGATAAGCATCAACATTTTCCATTAATTTTAATATTATGGTATTTAATTACTTTACTGTTTTGTATCTTGAAATTTCTGTAAATGTATCTTTATGATTATGGCCAATGAGAGTAACTTATGCTAAACTCCACCAATTAGGTCTTTCACAAGAATGTACTCAAGAAAGACGTCAATTATATTAAGATACGTACTCTTCAAGACGTATACAAAGTTTTTAAGTTGGTCTAAAACTATGTTACCTTTTTTTTGTTAACCAGTGTTAGGGGCACAACAATATTCATGAACATGAAATCTGTATCTAATTAGGATAGTCCATTTTCAACATTTTGGACTTTGGTAGTTGGTTGAAGATATTTTTGGACCAATGTCAGTTACGGCGATAATACGTTAACTGGTTAATTACTGATTTCCATGTGTGTCAAGTCCAGCTCACGCAAGAACCACCATATATATGACTATTTACAGTATTTTTAATATCCTTAATATGTTCCAATATCCTATCCCCATGTGTTTTAAGCTACCACCATTCAAGACCAAGTATATTCATAACCATCAAAATTGAGAAACTGGACCAATACCTTTTCGACTTTACATGGTGGATCCCTAAAATGGTTTTTAAAATTGGTAGAATCATTTCCTTTCACGTCAATGCTTACGTCTTTTGATTTCTCTGTTTCCATTTCCACTATAACGCCCTATAAAATATAAAAGTAAACAAAAAGAAAACAAAACTAAATAAAGACTGTGATTGATGAATGAATGCTTTTTAAGTGTAATGTATAAATTGAGGTACTAATGATTATGAAACCAGTATGAACAAAAAGCAATGGCATGTATCGATGAGGCAACTATAATTTGTGCATTATTTGCCGATGACCTGCGGATATGGTTTAGGGTATCTATAGACCTATATGAGAAGCTGGCGCGTGTAAGGTGTTACAGGTTGGTCACTCGCGGACGATTTAAAGAAACAAAATCCAATAAATATTCCAGATATTGAATGAATCTAGCGGCTATACAGGGCATGAGGAAAGAAATGAATATTTAGGAAGTTCCAAAATAGTCGTTTGACGGTTTTGGAAAAACCGCTCCGTTTTTAAGATACAGGAACCATCAGTTTTTTGTTTTTGAAAACAAAAATTACATGTTAGGCTTTCTAAGGCCTATAGAAAGTGATCCAGAAAGCTTAAGTCTGGAAATCTAACAGGCCATACGTGATATTCTCTTTGTTATATCCAACGATCTCGGTATGTTTCCGTCAAAAACTGGGGAACATCCATTTTGACGTTACTGCATGTAACTAAACATGAAATCCCTCTGGTGCATCTGGAATATATGGAAGGTACTCGTTTCGAATTGTTTTTGTAGAAAAGAAGCTTCTCATGAGATGTTCGCTGATAAATATCTTGTTCGCTCTGCAGATTTTTCGAAAATGATCAATGGACAAAATAGTCCAACAAGAATTACCCTTTGAAGTTCCTCCCTTATTTATGAAACACACTGCCTAGGTTTTTGGTGCAGCTTTTTATAATAGCAGTTGGCCTTACAAACAAATTTTAGGAAGCTTGAATATTCTGCGTTTTATACGAATGCAACTAGTGTAATGGACAGTTCAAGCAGAAAATGAGGGAAGCGTGATCCATGCAATGAAATTATCTCTTAAATATGACCTTAAACGATAATATTTTGTGACGTAAAAGTACTACTACCATGGTGGGCTGAATTCCAGAAAGTTACAGTGACCGTACTAATTATAAGAATTCAATTTTCACTTTTAGAATACTATATTCTATATAAACGGAGACTCTCAATCATAAAACACTATTTAATTTGCGAAACCACGTGTAGAAGCATTAATCCATTAAAGATAAACGTTATTTATTATCTTATAACACATCTACACGTTTTTTTTTTTGTTTCATTTTCAGACACCATTCACCTGCACTGATTGCATAATTTATTCTTGTTTCATTGCCACTGCCAGTGCAAGGATGGATCATTGTGCTCAGTTACTGTATTTGTTAGATATTTCCCTTGATATTTCCATACAATCACATCGTTACAGTCATATGTGGAGTATTATTAAACTATGACATTTCAAATACGAGGGATCTCTTTTAAGTTCTGCATATAGAAACATAGTAAGCCGCGCGGATCGAACGTCAGTACTGAATCTTAACCTCACACTTTAGTAAGCTTAAATTCAAAGTTTCACAACAATACGTGGAGTGTTCTCACTACAGTGAATTTTTAAGTGTCACCAAGTCATTAGAAAAATAGAACAAGGGTTGTCCAATAGGGACGCAGGAAAGTAAACGTCAATTTGACATAGACGCCATCTTTGTTTTCTGTCACCGACATGTCATTTTGTTAGTTGAATGTTTACCATTGATCGCTATGGAGTCGTATTCGATTGAAGACCGCATTAAAGTTATTCAAGAGCACTACAAAAATGGTGCAAAAATAAAAAACACGTTTCGCGCGCTTCGTGAACATTTCGGTCGCAACAACCGCCCAAACGAAACAACCATCGGTCGTTTGGTGCGTAAATTCGAGGCAACAGGTTCTGTGGCAAATCTGCCAGGCTCTGGCCGACCAAGGAGCGTTCGCACACCGGAAAATATTGCTGTTTGTCAAGGAGAGTGTGAGAGACGATCCGAAACAATCAACAATGCGTCGATCCCAAGATTTGGGCATTTCGAGAACCAGTTTGCTCCGCATTCTCCACAAGGATTTGAATGTACACTCCTACAAGATCCAATTGACGCAAGAGCTGCGTCGGGCCGACCATTTTTCGCGCCGAACGTTCTCAGATTGGCTCCTTGAACACCGCCAAATTGATGCCATTTTTTCATCAAAAATCATGTTCAGCGACGAATCGCATTTCACTTTGAATGGGACGGTAAACAAGCAAAACTGCCGCATCAGGGCGAACGAAAATCCCCGTGAGTATCAAGAGCAGCCGATGCATCCTCAAAAAGTGACTGTGGTGTGCATTGTGGTCCAAAGGCATCATCGGACCTTACTTTTAATTTTTTGGAAAATGCGGCCGGGAACGCGGTTACCGTCAATTCTGAGCGATATCACGTGATGATAGAGGACTATTTTTTTGCTGCAACTTGAAGGAATGGATATGGACGATGTTTATTTCCAACAAGACGGTGCAACATGCCACACAGCCCACGTCAATATCCATCGATTGCAGTCCTTCTTAGGTGATCGCGTGATTTCGCGCAGAGGAAATGTGCCATGGCCACCAAGATTGTGCGATTTGACTCCCTTGGACTTCTTTTTATGGTGATATTTGAAAAGCAAAGTCTACGTCAACAAACCAGCCACCCTCCAAGAACTCAAAAACAACATCATTGCCGAGATAAATGCCATAGAACCGACCATGTTGCAAAATGTCATTGAAAATTTCGACCATCGCGTGGACGTCTGTAAATCCAGTCGTGGTGAACATTTGAGCGGTATTATTTTTCATACATAAATGGTATAAATGAACCTTCAAAATAAAGTACCCAACTTTATTTGAATATCAATCTTTCTTGTTTTAATATGCGTTTACTTTCCGTTTTGGACAACCCCATATAATAACATATCTAAATTTTTCGCGGTTACAGAGCACTCTCGAACAATCTTCTTCAACGATCCAGGTGAATGGATAGACCAACTCATATATTTAGTTATTGCGTAAGATCCCCATGACACCAGTCGATGGAGAGAGGGAGGAATAAATTAATTTTTAATTTGTATGTATAATTACACCTCATTAGAATCTACTTTTGTATCGCTAATGTTCATTCTTAAGATATAGCAGTATAGTAGCGAGAGACCAAGGTCTAGCACTCTTTTTGCTCATTGTTATAATATCGTAATTGACCGTGGAATGCAAGTTATAGAAGGATGGAGTGGGCCAGTGGCGGCCGGTAGGGGTCAAGATCACGGTCAGGGTCTTGGTGGAACGAGGAAAATGCTAAGCTCGGAATTTTCTCAACATATTATAATTTATTCAATCGCAACGTTGAGTAAACATTCCGTTGGTAAGAATATCAGTAATGTAACTGATTTTTACCTGGGGCCGTACTTTTGAAAACGGTGATAGAACACGTATACAAAAGGTACCCTTACCATGGCGACATCCACAACTTGTAACACTTGCAAATAGACCAAGAGACTGCGGGAATATCTACCAAATATATCTTATAAAATGCTGTTTTCCATTTAAAACAGTTTAGATAATATATTTATAGTGAAAGTACTTGACTACCACCTCAAGGACGGTTTATAAACGACTCATAATAATATAGTTATGGCAACGTTTTGAACAAAATCTTTATTATCGCATGGAGAGTCATGATGGCCATTTTCAACATTTACTTGCCTAACGGTTCAGTTCATTCTTCATTTTTAAATTACTTTGCTGCCAAATGTATTGATCTTTAGCTTTAAATCAATAAATCTTCAAAACTACTGAACTGAAGTACATTAATTTTATACCATTATAAAGGGAATTGAAAGACCTTTAAAATAAGGTATCACTCGACCCCCCTTTCCATTTAAGATTTTGGGGGTGGTGTCACCCCCGCTTAGGGGGCTGCACGTGCTAACGTGATTTTTGGCCAAACTAGTGTCCCCCTCGAAAACAAAATCGATGGGTCTGAGCGTTTTTCAAAAAAAAACTGACCTGCCAGTAAATGCGTCTGTTTCGTTTTCGATGCGCCACCCTGCATGTAAATCATTATATGAGAGATTGTTTCTTGGAATATGATGACAAGCCGAAAACGTTAGATTTTAAAAGGAAATTTGACATTTGAGATGTCCTTAGGTTCGTCCTGATAGAACAATTAAAATTTTATTCGTTCCAGTTACTTCATGTCGGAGTTATGTATTTTTTTAAAAATGTAATTGACATTCAAATCAAATGATTTATACGAGGTGAATATCAAATCAGTTTAACATTAAAATTAAGCATGCCGTATTTGTGATTACCAAAACTCTTTTAATATCGATATGCTGCTAAAGTGAAATATCAAAATATGAGACTATCTCCACTTAACCACGCCACTGCGCTGGCAGATCATTTAATACGATGACTGTACCAAGCAAGGTTTCTAGACTACAATCTGATAGTTTAAAATATTTCTATACAGTGAAGAATATTGTCAAATCGTATAAACTAATTTTCCAATGGATCTAGTAGGATGACCTAAATTATTAGTCTTTGAAGCCAAATGAAAAATTCTTGTAAAAATGTAATGTAAAAGACTTAATTAAATGAGTTAATGTTCCGGGTGGTGTTAGAAGAGCAAAGTTGGGTTTTCAGACGCTATTCAGAATAAAATGTTAGTGACCTGTAAGTAAACCCTATTCACGAAAATGATGGATGAAATCCAACTCGGACTTTCCCTGATAACGTTTTTGCTAAGCTGGCCTCAAAAAAAAATCCATTACATTCTAACAGTAAACTGGTTTCGTAAGACTGATTTTTCTGTTACCTTGCCGCATGCAATAAAGTTCTATGACTGCGAGTTGTTCAATATCAACAGGAGTGATAACAAATAAAACAGCTGAATAACTAGAATAATTATAAAAGGTCTCAATGATCAGTTATCCGGCAAAAATACATATCGTTAGTAGTACTGGCAATGAAGAATCTCTGATAATTTTGGGAAATATATGGTACAGAATTACAAGCAAAGTTAATCTTACCAAAATTTACAAGACCGAAAACAAAAGGAAGTAGGAAAGTCAAAAATTGTCTATTTTTCGTTACATTCGCCCACATGCAGACATGTATCAAAAAATAAATACCTCAGTAGAAACTCCAAACAGTATTCAATAATTTA